GGAGGCATCCTGAGGATGCACATATAAATTAAACTAATATATTTAGAGCAGAATCCTCTGAATTCTAAAGGATTTTATTCTTATACATAGCTTCAAGAGAATTCTCGTAGAAATTTCCCAAGATTTTTCCAGATACAAAGCGCAAATTCTGATTGGAATGTCGAAATTTATTAAAATTAGTTATCCCGATATGAAAGTATTTTTATTATACCCTCATCTGTGATGAAGTGTATAATAAAGAACCAATATTTACATCTGTCACTTCGGCTCCTGTTATAACTGATTACTACGCCAATGTGTCAGTAATGACTTTCAGTCGTGACGATCGGATGCGCTCTTTCTATATCTACACCACTCGAAATGAAACAGCGCGATTCTGATTTGCACTTAATCGGAAAATCCGAGGTACCATCCGGTGCTGTGGAGTCTCTCCCGAGCTCGACTCAATAAGCGAGCAATTGCGGAGCTAATAAGGCGGATCGGCGTCTCGCATCCAATTAAAGAAAGCGGGACGCCGTGTCTGCGAAATGCGCGCGAACGAGTTAGACAGGTCGCGGTGAAAATGTTCCCACTCGGCTGTCGTTCGTGCGATTAATCGCACCGCCACGCGCTCGCGCGAGTTTCACTAGGAAATTCCTTCGTCGTCGTCCTCGTCGTCCTCGTTGTCGTCGCGTATTGCGTTACTCAGCACGCGGTTGCTTCGTAATCACCTTGCGAGCGAGATTGTCCATTCGTGTAATCGACGCGCTTAACTCATTTCCCGTTCCGTCTCGATTTCGCGGAACGAGGTGCAACGTACGTGCCGGTTTCTCGCTCGCGCGAAAGACGCGCGTTTAAGGATGCGCGTCTCTCACCTTCCCTTTGTATCGCGCACACCCACGGTTGCGTAAACGCTTCAAGTGCGCACTAACGCGTACGTATGTACATACGTACGCACGCAGGCGCGCACGCACGTGCGTTAGGACAGAGGCGCGAACAGAGTTGCGGTAATCCGTTGTAATTGCCGACGAGGCCGGCCGGCTGGAAAACGATATTTTGCAACGTTTTTATTGCGCTCGCGCGGGAACGGCTCGCAACCGCGGATGAGCCGCGATCATCCTCCTTTCGTAATAGCATGATAAAAACGCGCCACAATATCATCGACGAGATCGGCACGTGTGCCTCGCGCTCCTGCGCCCTATGCAGTAGGACGCGCGTCATTCGTCTCTTTTTTTTCGCACGCGTGGCATACTATACTAGACACTGCGCGCCACGTATCGTCATAGCAACGATTATCTACTGACCTTAAGTGTCATCGGGCTATGAAGTTATGAAAATACGCTCATCCTGCCTGAAAACCGCTCGCGAGCGTAAAACGGCATTATCATTCGCGCGGAAGCCACTCTATTTTCGCGTCAGGATCAAGGTCGGCAGTCTAATCCGGACAAACGAGAGGAAGTCGTAGGTAGCCGCGCCATCGCACGTGGATTCGCCGAGGAACCCTCCTGAAGAGTCAGAAATAAGAAATACGACAATTCTGACAGACAAAGCTGACAGCAGACACGTTATTCTGACTGTATACGAACAGTATTTTTTGAGGTATAACAACAAAGTGACAGAAAGATGGCCTGTAAGAATCCAGTATGACACGAATAATTTAAAATACGGGAGAATAATAATGAAGTTTAAAAGTGAAGTTCAAAATTCAAAATCAAAATTTGAATGTATAATAACGCATGCGATGAATATTTTTCGATTCTGCAACGTACACAGTGTGTGTCACTTTCCACTTCAAATTCTCTCTTTAGTTTGAAGCGCATTTTATTAATATTAATAAAATTTATTATTCCCCTTTCCAATTAATAAATTATGCTTCAGTTGATTCACATACACACACACAATTTAAGAATTGCCAAAAATTCTGTTATTCCAATTACCATACTAGTCCAATCTCGCACGCGAAATCTAGCATTTTCATCTGCGACAAGTTTACTTAAAAAAATATAATATTATTTTTAGTGGAATCTGTTATACATGGTAAGGTTCTTTTAAAATCAAAAGAGAAATACTAACGCTACAAAAGAAAAACAATTGCAAGATTCTATTTCATATAACCCTCATACAACACAAATATAAAGACGCATCTTGGAAACATTCTAGAGACGTCAGAAGACAAATAGAATATTTTTCAGACTCTCTAGGATGTCTTTTGGACGTTTTTGTTGTATGGGTTCCATATTATAAGCAAAACTCTTAGACAAAGTATTCCTCTTCTAGTAAAATGTACTATTAATCTGAAATCTACTAGATATTATTTCAACTTTTTTCATTTTTGCGATTAAGAGGAATATATTAAAACAGAATACCCTTTTACTAAAAAAAAAATCTAATTAAGAACAAGGCTTGTGCTGTAAATAAAAGACGCAAATGCTCTGACTCTGGGAATACTGTGCTTAGAATATTTTCTCTGGCTTCAGAAAAATCCTTCCAAAATTACGTATAAGAGGATTTTGCTGAAGATAAGATTATTTTTTTTTAGTGTCCCCGAGAATATCTCTTTTTTCATTTCACGAGGCTTCCATTCAGGAGAGTCTTCTGGCAAGCGACGCATAACAGACGATCAGTCAGAGATTTCTACTCGAACGAGTACCACGGGAGACACTCGCAACGATCTCGACGTAACGCGAATCGCGTAACGGGCCTGCGAGATGCAACAACCCGGTGCGGCGCAAATCGCTGTGCAGGTCTGCGCCTCCGGCTCAGAGCAGGTAGCTCGGAGTGGTTTCTTATCGGCTGTTCCTTTCACTCGTGAACCGTTACTCATTGCGAACCTATCCTAATAAAGGCACTTTCGCCTACTTAACTCTCCCCGGCTCCGTGGAAAACGATAATCCGCCCGGATGTTGGCCATCCGAGATGGACCCGTCTCTCCTCCACCTCCGGTCTTCCGAGGTCGTAAATGAGGCGCGTCGTTTAAATCTCGCTACTCTCGTCGCCCCATCGCGACGGGAACGGCCTCTCTCTTTCTCTCTCTTTCTCTCTTTCGTGCGCGCGCCCCGTTCGTCCGCGCGGAACAGGTCGTTCCTTGGCCATTCGTCACGGGGTACGACGAACGTATCGCGATTAAAGCCACGAGCGCATTCCGAGTATGTTACGGCGTGTTTCGCTTTTCATACTACGTATCGGTGGATTGCGGGATCGCGACCTTGCCGCCATACACGCACGCGGTCCCCATAATCGTTTTTCAGGCCGATAGTAATGCGTGCGCGATGCATTGCGCGTGCACAGACTCGACGTGACATCACGTGTACGTGGGTCGTAGCTTGTGAAGAGCTCGCGAAGGTAAACCTCGACGGAGGCCCGCAGCCTCGCGCGTTTTATTGACGCGCGTCGTCTCGGCCCGACGTGAATTCGATAAGCGCGCGCGGCGTTTCGAACGCAAAAACGCGCTCCGCATGCCGAGAGAGAAAGAGAGAGACACGCGCGTGCGATAACGCCAACGAGAAAGAAAGGTCACCAGACGCAGGCTGTGCAGATAGTCAATCGGCGTCAACGAGAGAGAGAGGGAGAGGCGAGCTCTACCCGCCACGTTGTTGATAAACCACATCGAAAATAGCCTTTAACAATCGCGCGACCGCTCGCCAGTTAGCCGACGACGACCGCGTGTTTCTCGCGCTGAAACTCGCGTCTGCAGCCGGCGACTCTGGCGGGAGGCATTGCGTCACACTGATTAAATACTCGCGTTTAATCATATCTGATTCCTGATTACATGATCGGCTGATCACTTTCTCACATAGTCTACTTTACTGCACTGACAGGTGTCCCCTTTGGAAATTAATTGAAAAAGAGTCGGCCTGGGTACATGTAATATTTGATCTTTAACACCTGTTGTGGTGCATAAAAAATTGTTTTGCCAGACTAAAGTGTAATGACATAATTACTTTTATATATATTGCCTATAAATATATATATATATATATATATATATATATATATATATATATATATTGCCTATAAATGTTGCAAGTTAATATCTGGAGAATGCGGTTTTTGGAAATTGTATCTTAGATAAATAATAACGCAACGATTAAATGTTGGAAGAAGTTCTTCCTGAAGATGATTGAAGATTTTAAAGATCACGCTTTATTATACTGACAAGGTGTCTCTTGTAGAAATCAATTTAAAATGAGTCGGGCAGGTACACGTAATATTTGATCTTTGACACCTGTTGGCGCGTGAAAAATTGCCAGACTAGCGTAATGACAAAATTATTTAAATATATACATTGCTTATGAATGCTGCAAATTAATATCTGGGAAGGGTGTGGTATTTTTAGAAATTGTCTCTTAGATAAAGTGTGTGACGCAATAAATGTTATAATTAATGATCAAAAAGTTTCTCTATTTATATTTCTATTGTTTTCATTGTATTGAGAAGAGAAAACGTGGATTTTTTCCAGTTTCAACTGGAAATTCCCCGTTTCTATTTTGCCCGTCACATCTGTCAGCTCTCATATTGCGCGTCACTTAGGTTTCATTTAGAGCGCGTTAGAGGCTGTCCAAGCAAGTTTAGTGTCAATGATTTTACGTAGCTGAGGTTAGAATGCAAATCAATTTTCATGCTTTATACTGCGCACACCGCGCGTCGTATGGTAATACCGGCGCAGCGCGCACAGATGTATGAATATTCAATAAATTTTATCTCTCTTATGAACGCCTCGACGGCCATTTATCCATCCGCGCTATCTATTCGCTTTAGAAAATGGAAATGTAGCGGACTTCGGGTATCGATACCTCCGCGCTATTCGAAACAATAATTAAGTATTCCATCCCGACAATCGGGGCCGGGGGAAACAAAAACTCGGCCGTTAGGAGAGGCAGAAACTCTTCATCGCGCTTCTCAAACCGCGCGAGCCCGCGCAGTTTTACTCTTTGTCTCGGCGCGACATTGTAAACTGATGACGAAATGGAAAAGTTATCGACGACTTGTTGTAAAGAGAGACTCGCGTTTTATTTTTACAGCGCCAACAAAGCCGGAGAATCTCACCTCTCGTGGTATCACGGGAACAACCATCGAGCTCTCGTGGTCGGAACCCGAGAGTGCCAATGGTGTCATCGCTGGTTATCGTGTTTACTACATGCATTCCAACTATACGGACGTTAAAATGCACATACCCGATAAATCTACAGATTCCGACGACACGAGCATCGAATTCGTCTTGAAGGAACTGAGTGAGTATACACACGGTAGAGTGAGTATAGCCGCATGCACGATGCTCTTGCGAGGAAGAAGCGTTTCTTTCATCACAAATCATCAGGAGCGAGTACACGTTGCGTGCGAATTAATTATTTACTGACTTATTTACTGCTAAAGGCAATCAATTAAAATCATTCATTTTCAAATTGTGTTGTAAAAAAGCAGTTGTCAGATACTCGTGTACGAGTCGATCAAGCATTCATCACCTCGTTTCGAGACTCGTAAGTGCACGGAAATTCTTTGACACTTGAACCTCTTGCGACACTTGAAATCCCGGCGGCTTCGTGTGACAGTCTTTTAACGCTTGGTAACATATAATGAAATATGTAATGAAACATGTAATTTCCAGTTGACGAATTGTCAACGGTAGTCGACTTAGGTCGGTCGGTATGTTTAGCGCATCGATAAGGGGAAGCTCAAACAGTTCTTATCAGCGCACGCGTTTTCTCTCGTATCAAGACGATGCAGGCGAACGCATCGTTAGATAACCCCGACGTGTTATATTTCGGATGAATATACGCTTGGTTTATCGCAGTCGTGAGAAGATCTCGATAAGATTGTCAAACAGATAGGGTTCATGTCGCGCCGTAAAAGAGTGGAAGAGATAGGAACAGTGAAGAATAGTTCGAACTTTTAACTCGCGCGATTATCACACTTAACCACTACTCTCGTTGTTATGCCGCAGAACCGAATACCGAATACAAGATCTGGGTGAAAGCTTACACACGGAAAAACGAGGGCGAGCCTTCGGACCAGATTATCCGCAAGACCGACATAACAGGACCAAGCGCTCCTTTGATCCTAAATTTAACTTGCCAATCCCACGAGTCCATCTACGTCCACTGGGCCAGGCCGGCCCTCTTTTGGGGCTCGATCGACTACTACTACATCAATTACCGGCGGATAAATGGGCGATATTACGAAGAGATCGAGTTATCAGCCGAGAAAAATCACCTTGAGAGCGGGGTACGTCTCCTTTGATCGCTTTCATCGATATAATGGTCTAATTGACTTCAGTGACGAATTATCACAGCGTGATAATTCATCACCGGTAATCAAGTATTTATCAGTTAAAAAGAGAGACATTTTTATTCCTCTCTTACCTCCGCCTCTATCGTGCTTTACGTGAATTTGCAATTAATCGGTTCTTTTGGAATTCGTGTTTGCAGACGATCATTCCCAACCTGACGATGAACACCGTGTACGAGGTTGTGGTACGAGGGGCTACCAAGAGCACAATAAACAGTCATCTGATCATTCAGGGCGAGAGCTCTATACCCGCGAAGGTGTTGGTCACCCGTGATTGCGACAAGATACCCCCTTTGATGCGTCGCAGCAGTAAAGATCTCAGCGCTGGAGTGATCGCCGGAATGGTCTGCGCCTGTATCGCCGTGATGCTGGCGATTACGTCCTTCGTGTTGTGGAAGTGAGTCTCGCTTTGATACGCGTAAGCTTATCGCGCACAGAGGAAACTCTAGTGCATCCGACTCGATTATCGCGCGATTTTCCTGCGCAACTGCAAACGCAGATCTAATCTGCAATGCGCGCAGCCCAACGTGTAGAGCATTCAACCCCAGATTTCTCTCGAGTGTATTATCTGTACATTAATTATTTTCTCACGCGTCGGTTAAGTCTCGGCTGCTTTGTATTTCTTCTAACCTCTATTCTTTTTTATCTACGCTATTCGAGATTAAATCATGATCCTGTGAAATTTCAATAATCTCGTGAATAATTTCGTCGCCGAGAAAATACAACTAAACGGAGATCTCATGAAGATATAATAGAAAGAGAATATATAATTATGAAAAAAGATGTGAAAGATGAAAAGCGATGTAACTGAAAGAAGAATGCGTTATGAGAGATCTCTCTCTCTTTCTCTTTTCCTTTAATTGTCTACGCATTACTCTTGAAGCGTTTAGGAAATCACGCCGAAGATTTTGAAACGGAAAAATGACAAGAGATCTACTTTCTCCCGCGTAACAACTGTGCTTCATGGCCGATCTTGCGAAGTACTATTTCGCATCGGCGGCGTTTCACTTCCGCCCCGCGCGATCCAACGCTAAGAGATCTATTATTTTTGTTACTTGGAAATTACAAGCCGAACAATCGGTATGCTCGAGCAGTTACGCGTTACTTCGATCGCGAGTCGCATTGGGGGGAGGGAGGGGCACACGGCGCGAGCAATTAGAAAGTTCCCGACGGTGCAATCACGTGCACCTTCGCACGCACGCATACCTGTTTTTCCCATTCAAGCTTCTCCCACTCGTTCTCCGCCGCTGCAGCCTGCTAACGTCCCGATAACCTTCTCTCGATTTGCGTTCTTTGGTCCACGTATCTCTTCCTCAAGCCTGGCGCCGCGATACTAAATTCCTACGTCAGTTCAATTATGAAAGAAAAAGTGATCCAGAACTCAAATAGAGTTTACACACGCCGCGAGCTGTTGATAATTTCGCGAAGTCTTCCGAGAATTTTGCATCGAAGTGCAACGCTCAGCGCTAAATCCGAATGCGCAATATATTGAGCCAGATTGTACCACTCGAGAAGTAGTTCCAGATTATTTCTGGACCGTCGACCTTCGTGTCACGTGGAGCACGCCGCGCGCAGAGCGAACTACAGGCTAATACTATCGCCCGACCAATACATCATATTTATTGGTCCCGACTTACGAGACACCGTGTATGCGGCCGCGAAGATACGCGTACTTTAATATGTCCCACCTCTCACCGACGCGCTCACTCTCGTGTCTCGTTATCACGGCAGATAACGAGCGGTGACAAGGGCTAAGTATGGTCTTACAGTCACCGGAGGAACTCGTCGCGCAGCGCGGTGCGGAGCGGTGTGGAGCAACCGCGACGCGGCACGCCTCGGACCGAGACTCCTGTGCCGCTTGTGCCGCGAGCGGGAACGCGTGTGCCGTGCCGTGAACTCGCGAGTTTCGTTCTTCCTCTGCGACAGTGTCGTCGTCGTCGCCGTCGTCGTCGTTGTCGTTGCTCGAGTGACGTTTCAAGAGCGCGAAGGTTCGGGCTCGAAGCTGGCGGGCTCGTTTTCTGGGTCACGGACGGAGCCCCGACCCGGTCGTTACTTATTCCACAGGCGCGTCGATTCGTTGTTCCGCTGCTCGGGGACCTTGCCAATGATGGATGCTGTCGTCGAGATTAGACCGTCGAAATGAAGAAGTTTCTTCATCTGTAAGTCCTCGGATAAGGCGCGGATACGCCGCGGAGAACGCCGCTTCGGTACGTGGAGGGACGCGCGCGGTACGGAGGACGGAGTGCGCTTTATATTTCGCCCGCGGTGGAAATTATTACGATGTCGACGCATATCGATTTTCGGTGTATCGATATTTCATTTCTATCCCATTAACGCGAGCGTGCGCGCGCGTGATTCATTGGTATTACGAAACTTACAGCTCTCAAATATTTCAGCTATTCGATACCGCGTTGATTACTCATGATTTATGACCATATCTAAATCACATTTTCCATAAAAAACAAACAAACACACACACACACACACACACACATTTTATATATATATATATATATATATATATATATATATATATATATATATATATTAGAAGTGAAAAAAGACGATAAATATCGTACGATGGACGAGGCAATAGGATCAGAATTTCACAATGACGTACATCGTGGACTCCCGAGTAACCTTTCAAAGGCCTTAGTCGTCGCTTCTTAGTCATAAAACATTTATTAACAAAAAGGGTTGCCTCGTAAAAGGGTGTTGCGCCCGCCACCCGTGTGCCCACCGAGGTCATGACCCTGAATAATATGCAAGCAGTTTCATGCGTCGCTCGTGGAGAGCAGAACCCATCTTTTGAACCCGGTTTTTACTGTGCAAAGCGAGGTCTGCACAATTGTGCGGTTCTACGTGGGTTTAAAACTATCCATGCGAAGCGAGGTCCATCCCTATTATCCCGTGCCTTCTGTGCGAAACGAAGTATATCATTTTTAGAGCTCGCTTCACGTAGAAAGTGGCAAACCCACGTGACCGTACGATTATAGCCTTCGTTTTGTATCGAAAGCACAGAGCGATGTGGGGTGGGTCTTGCTATGGATGTAAGGTTGCACACATCGTGTGATATCGCGCGATTATAGACCTGGTTTCCCGTCCAAAGCGTTGTGCGATGTGCAGCGAACCCGTTTCGCGGGAGGGAGGAGAGACTCTAGTGACCCGTCTTATATTAATGCAATTTTATCTCATGAACCGTACGAGATCGCCGGCTAAAATAAAGCAAACGACACTCAGCACCCTCATCACACAATCTGGGTCAAGTCATGATGTTTATAATTACATTTCTTATTTTCTTTCTGTTGATCACTTTTTAAGCGAGCAACGATTAAAATCTTTGGAAAGGGTTTATTCGAGGTCAACATGTATCATTGCCGAGTCGGTTTCGTTGCTCCGTTTAAAATGAAATATTTATCACATATTTCGACAAAAATCATATCGGATATGTACTAAATCGATTTCAAGCGTGCGCCTGTGGAAAACGAATTTCTAGAACTTCTCTCTTCTCGGTTTCAGGCCAATTTTCAGGAAATGCTTCCACACCGCTTACTACTACCTGGATTACCCACCGCGAAACGTTCCCACTCTTCAAGAATGGGAAAACAGCGAGCAAGACGGCGAGAGGACCGCCGTGGCCGTTCAGCAGTTCGTTCAGCATGTCGCGAGCCTCCATGCCGACGGGGACATCGGCTTCAGTAAGGAGTACGAGCTGATACAGTCCGAGACCGGTGATTACACGGTGGAGAATTCCCAGTTCGCTGAGAATAAGGCCAAGAACAGATACCTGAACATACTCGCATGTAAGTGCCATTGACGTATATGCTGCCCGGCGCATCATATACTGTCGCAATAACATTTACAGGATGAAAGCAAACATCTTAATATAGCGCAATGACGTTCTCTGTTTCTGCAAGAACGGGTCTATTTCTGGACGGACACTGCCATTTACTGTCACCGACCTGCATTCGCTCTGTTTAATTTCTCAGCACACTGACATGTCCGCCGACGCGGACTTCCAATCGCTTTGATCGATTGCTTTGATCTAACCGTGGCACATCGCCACGGTAAACTTACAATGATAAAAGAAATGATAACAATCATGATTCAACAAGATACACGGAAAAAAACGATTTCGTCAATGTAATTTTCCGTTAATATAAGGACCAGACGAGAAGCTCGGATGTGGGAATAGAAAGATTCCCATAGGAAATTTTTGCTTAGTCAATCACTCTCAGCTATCTCGACCGAGTTTTAAGGCAACTGAATGTTCAGACGAGTGTTCTCGGTCGCGCAGTAACGGAGATATTATTTCTCGTCAATGGATTTGTTTCGTCTGGTCTCCAATCAGTTACACGAACTGAATTTTTCTTTTCTTGTAGTGATCGGAGTAAGATTATATGGAGAATTCGAAAGCATTTCGCAGTGGTAAAATCGACAGCAGAAGCCGGAGCTTTATTTGTCGCGAGCGCGAAGGAAATAATCGATGCGGCATGATTTCCCGTCAAAACCAAACGATATCTTGACCCAAGAGATATCTCTGATTAGTTGGTAAACCCGGTAACAGAGGAAATAATAACAATCGTGATTCGACGGTGCAGTAATCGTAGTAAAATTATATTTGGATTTGAAAGTATCTCGCAGGATTTGAAAGTATCTCGCAGCAGTAAAATCGACAGCAAAAGCCTGAACTTGTCACGGGCGAGAAGGAAATAATCAATGCGGCGTGATCTTCCGTCCGAACCAAGCAATATCCCGATGCAAGAGATATCTCTGATCGAATCATACGGCTATTTTTACTCTAAGCTGATACCTATCTATATCTACAGGCTGAACTACAGATAAATTGCGCGGCGCAATTAGGCCTCGTACTTTTGGAAAAATCGACGATAAAATGCAATGACGAAAATAGATACTTGCTGAAAAGCAGAAGCGAGCTTCTTTACCCTTCATATGATTCCGTTTTTGCGCAGACGACCATACCCGAGTGCAATTGTTGTCCTGCGGCGGCGGGCCTCCCAAAAAAGGTCAGGATTACGTCAATGCGAATTACATCGACGGGTGGCAAAGGGCGCGAGCTTACATCGGTACCCAAGGCCCACTCCCTCCGACATTCGACGGTTTCTGGCGAATGGTCTGGGAGCAGCGCGTGTCGATAGTCGTCATGATTACCAATCTGGTCGAACGTGGTCGTGTAAGTACATTTAATGTCGCGTATTTTCCGCGAAGACCTACCAGTTTTATAAAAAAAAAAAATACATATCTTAATTATTCAAAACTTGGACTCGACGACAGTGATATTGCTAAACATACTAATATCAATATATATCAATATTGTGCTAACATACAAATATCGATATTCCTGCAGAGAAAATGTGATATGTATTGGCCCAAGGAGGGAAGCGAAACTTACGGTTACATTCAAGTAACTTTAGTGAGGGAGGACATCATGGCTACTTACACCATCCGGACCCTCCAAATCCGACACTTAAAGGTATATATCTAGAAGCAAAGTAGACACACAACGTTGGGATTTTCCCTTCGTATCTAACCGACTTGAAGATACATCGGTTGAGCGGGAGCTGATAAACGAGTGAGCAACTTTCCCAACGAGAAATCTTTGTTTGAAACCTTTAAGCAGATCAAGAAGAAGAAAAACGGGACCAATGTAGGCGAGCGTACTATATGGCAGTATCACTATACCGGCTGGCCCGATCACGGCGTGCCCGATCATCCGTTACCCGTACTCAGCTTCATCCGAAAATCGTCCAACGCCAATCCGCCCGATGCTGGACCCATCGTAGTCCACTGCAGGTGACACAGTCCTTCTATAATGACGAACAATCTTATTCAATGACCTTTTTTAAGGAGCGATTTCGATCGACAAGTACTTTCAATCTGATGCCTGCACTTCGCTCGTTTGTAAAGATACTTCATTTGATCAGTTTGCTTTAGATAAGATATGAGTACGCTGCATGTGCGATTTCTCATCTTCTATCTCACCGGAGCAAATTTGTATCTCCTCGTTACAGCGCCGGCGTCGGGCGAACCGGCACGTACATCGTGATCGACGCGATGCTGAAGCAAGCCAAAAGCAAGAACGAAATCAACGTATTCGGTTTCCTCAAGCACATCCGCACCCAGAGGAATTTCCTAGTTCAGACGGAGGAGCAGTACATTTTTATCCACGATGCGTTGCAGGAGGCGATAGAGAGCGGCGAGACCAATATCGATGCTAATAATTTAATGCAGCACGTCCAAGACATGCTGTGCCCCTCGAATAACAAGACTGACGCATGGAACAACATCGAAGCTCAATACAAGGTAATTATTTAATTGTCCACTATTAGCATCGAGCGTAAAGATTCGATCCCATCATCAATTGTTTATCCCTGTTAGCTGGTGACGTCGTGGAAGCCCAAGGACTTCAATCTCGTATCCGCCACCAAAGCATGCAACGTTCACAAGAACCGCAACATGGACATCATCCCCATCGAGAACGCACGCGTTCACCTAACACCGAAGCCTGGCATCGACGGCAGCGACTACATAAACGCGACTTGGGTTTCAGGTAATTCATAGTCTTGGAAGAAGATTGTTTCTCGCACACATGTATACACACACATACACGTTATTCGTGTAAACGGCGATAGAGACAGGAGTCTTCCGACAAAACATTCTTCAATGTTTGACGTTTCGTCAAATATTGTTGCGTTGAAATATTCACAGTATCGGTCGTCGTCATATCTCAATCATTCCAATTGAAAAACACTGAATAATGTTTTGACAGAATTGACAGACTCCTGTCTGCCGTCGTTTGAACGGATAATAATCTATGCTGTTTTTCGAGTCGTGACACCGGTTAGTGATTTGTACCGTTGAATCGACGTGTGAACGAAGAGATTGCGTGAGTGTACATGACAATGAGGGAAAGAGACAGAGAGAGGGGAAGAGAGAGAAGGAGGCAGAGAGAGAGAAAGAGAGAGAGAGAGGGAGAGAGACAGAAAGAAAGAGAGAGAAAGCAAATGAATGAATGAATATGTATAATTTTTCGATTAGGATATAATCTAATCTCGATTATATCTCGACCAACAACAATAGCAACATTGGCGTCTTTTGCAGGTTTCCAACGTAATCGCGAATTCATCATAACGCAACACCCGATGGAGAATACCATAATGGAGTTCTGGCAGATGATGTGGGACCATAATGCACAGACCATCGTCATGCTGACTCAATGTGATGAGGTATGCTTCGAATAGGGTCGCGAATGATCAATTGGGCGGCTAGTAAACGAGACCCTAACGCGACGAAAAATCTTATCCGACAGGAGTACCCGGAGTTTTGGCCCATCGAAGGGAAGGATCTCGAGTCAGAGACGTTCCGTGTGCGACTCTGCGGAACAAAGGAGACCGTGAACGGGACTATCCTGCTGGAAGTCGCGGTGCGATCGTTGCAGGACGACTACGAGCTGAGCGCAAGGATCGTTCAAGCGCCGTCGAATCAAAGCGGTCTGTGGCCGCATAACAACAATCCGAAAACCTTCGTCAACATTATCCAGGACTTTCATCGAGATTATCAAAACGGTCCTATCGTCGTGATGGACAGGTTAGAATCCCGCTCTCGTTAAAGCGCGACGCTACGTGATCATTTGTATCGGAATAAATATATTTCTCATTGCTATTAGGTACGGCGGAGTCGAGGCGGCGCTCTTCGTTCTATTGACCACCTTGAACAAGCAACTGGAATTCGAGCAAAGTGCCGACATTTACATGTTTGCGAAGCTACTCTACATGAAGAGACCTGGCGTTTTCCGCTCGAAGGTAAACTACTAAGCACAAAATTATTAGTACCGAATTTCTTCGCGCAATTTTAGACACGTTAGACAGACAATTTTGGAAAAGAAAGCTTCGTTCTTATCCTCTATCGTTTGTTGCTCGGCAGGAAGACTACATACTGCTGTACCAGTGTCTGGAGTCCATGCTGTCGACGAAAGGCCGCGCGGAGCCCGACCTATACGCCATGGCGAATGGACACGTCGCTACGCTGAACGACCCGAATGAGATCAGGTCGGCTTCATCGATCCAACATATGCCGATAGATTATCCATCCAAGTCATCCGTCATTTGCGAGTACGCCACGGTAGAAGTCAGTTCCGAATACCTGCCCGACTACACCATTTCCATACGCGTGGATCACCCGATCGAATCATCCAGCAGCCGTGGGAGCGAAACTTGCCTCTCCTCCCACGGCAGCAATGATCATGTAGTGCCGGAGAAAAGCATGGTGGTGTCACAGAGAAACATTAGCTATCATAATCATCCACCCGGGGTGTCTGTAATGGTCGATGCTAACGGTTATATCACAAATGGCAGCATGCGCGTACCTACCGACAATATGGAGCCCAGCTGCAAGATGATGCCGCAATGATGCCGGCCTATCTTCGGTTGCAGCGCACCCACTCGAAGGTCGGACCCGCTGTAATCGAGCTTCCGGTCGCTGGAAGTTTAATCTCGACCTGGTAAGTTGTCACTCCCGCTCGAACGCCCGCCTCATCCCCGGAGATCCGCTCCTGAAAGTAATGACGCAAGTTAGTTGACTAAGAAACGGATGGAACGAAAAAGAAACCATATATGTCTGTTCTCCGTGCAGACTGATCCTCGCACGTCGCGCAGGAGGTGATAATTCGTATCCAGGATGAGCTGAAGGATCTTCGAGCGGATTTTAGTGTACATAGGGCTACGTGAACGTTAAACCGGGCGAAAGAGTTTTGATATCGATAAGGGAACCCCAATCCCGGCTAGCGGACAGTGCCAAACAAAAAGAGACAGAATTGCTGATGCACGCTGGGTGGGTGATGTTTATCTTTATCCATCGCGTAAGTTTATGTTGTTCATGTGCATTGTATATATATAAATATTATACATTTCCACACGCGCACACACATACATACGTACATATAACTATACATACATATATACATACATATATACAGATACATATATATACTCTCACACACATACGACACATACGCGCTCGCGTAGGCACATATGCATATATATGAGTGTGTGTACAGTATAAGTTGCGTGCACAAGAGTACGTAAAATATATGTGTATATATATATATATATATATATATATATATATATATATCATGCGTATGTACAACGTGCGTGTGTATGCGTATCCGTGTGTGTACGTCGAACATCCGACAGCTCCGAGTTGCCAAAGAATCATTGCGATTAGCCTAATTCTTAGGACGATATACCGTGGATGGATGGGTGTGTACATATTTCACATACGTATACACGTGTATCCATTATTCTATTCGTGTTAGTTGAAACGCGAGGATGCACCGTCGGGGCGAAGTTCTTCGCATACGAATCACGACTGTGTCGCGCGCATCACGAGACTAATTTTAGCGTCTGCCCTCTCTCTCGTTTCTCATTACCCCGACGCCACAGCTTATCGTGCTCCGTTTTACTGCCATTAATAGCGAAGATAAATATCAGCAACTTGGCGAGCGGATCCTTGATCGTTGATCCTCGAACGTTCGGATTGCGTTCGGCTCCGGACGAGCGATCTCACGAGCGCGTAGATCGCTCCGCGACAATGAACGCGCGCGCGCGCGCCTTCGAACAAATCAAATTAAAAGGACGTGTAAACTATCGATAAACGATATCGTACCGCTTTTAAATTCGTTTCACGAGCGACACCCGTGAGCGAATCGAACGCACAACTTCGTAGAAAGACTTACATGGCTTTTGATAACATCTAACGCGCAACACTACACGATAAGGTGCGATCTCTTGAGAGGAAGGTGAGCGAGGACTTTACCGCATGAGAGACGCGTTCCACGAAGACAAAAGCCGCGCGTGTCTCTGGCGTGTAACTAGAACGCGGAACGAAGGACGAAGCTTATACTTTTCTCTCCCGTATTCATTCCTTCTTTCGTCGAGACGAAGGACGCGTGTCTGAACGCACGCAAAGCAACAAAGGAACAACTCCGCGGCGATGACAATCGCGATAACTCTAATAATGATAATTTGCCGTTAAATTAATACGCGTATTGTTCGAGAAGCACTCTGAAGCATACCAAAGTAAAGCGGCGCGCTCTCTTCGGATTCACGTCGATCGACTTCTGTACTTTTTGCACTACTCAGACGATGATGCACGCCAACACTAAAAGCATCAATCATCCCCTTTCATTCTCAACGGTGTGTACAGAAACCTCCAACTGCCCATCGCAGAACTCGAACAGCTCGCTCGCGCCACAATCTCATTGACATTTGCGTGTACAATTAACGTCCCCACGAAGTCAATAACGTCTACATTCGCGCACTCCATGCATCGTAATTTTTCATCTGTATTATAAATTATATATATACACTTACACACACATATACACACATGTGAAAGCGGACGAAATATTCAAAGTGGTTCAGTTTGTCTCGTTAATTGTCAGTTGTTTTACGACCAAACGGAAGGCATGACGAGAGGAGATATCGAAGAGCCGGTCGAGTTGGATCCGGGAATGTCCAGAAATCGATTTTGCCGCGCACGCTACGACCGCGTACCCGATTCGCAAGTGTATCCTAAAAAGAAATAAAAACAAAACAAGAAGCGAAAAGACCGCGACACCTTGTAAGAAAAGATGTACATTTTGTCGTTTGGTCTAACTCAATAATAATAGTACAAATCGGACGCTACTTTGAATACTCGTTCGGCTATGATCGACGAATTAAGCGCGCAAGAAGTCAGGAGAGACCGGTTCGTTCCAACTTGCCGAAACTCCGTTGTGATTGAGTGACGTCATCATTCGCGATATTCACGACGAATATTAGACGACATTATCGAGCAACGTCCTTTTACGTTGGATTCCGCAACGTTGTCATTGTACTCAGACTCAGCCAAGCGAACTTTTTAGCATGAGTCGCGCAGACGCGCGCGTCGCATTTTAAGACGAAATAGGGGGAAGAAAATAAAGTAAGAGGAAAAATTGTACCTCGCGCGTTTCCTCGCGAATCGCGTTCGCGTACATTCAGCATTTTTCTTTCGTCGCGCGCGTACGCGTATAGATTGAGAGAAAAAAACGCGTCCCTGTCAATCGCGAACCCTTAGACAAGCTGCTGAAAGAGAGAGAGAGAGAGAGAGAGAGAGAGAGAGAGAGAGAGAGAGAGAGAACGAGAACCGCCTGACGAAAGGGAGAGAGCAGAAACAACGGGAATGCACAGGAAAAGAGAAGAAATGGGAAGAAGGACAAGGAAAATTGAAGCGACTCCGTCGGCGCTCGCTGTGATCAGCCACGCGAAAGGGTTGCACACGCGCTCGTTAGAGGAGAATTGCGTCAACGTCAATACGTGGAATTACGAATACGTCGCGATAACTGACGAGACGCGTCATGGGAGGGGAGGAGGGAGAGGAAGGGAGACCACGAGACTGATCGGAACGAGAATCAAATCCCAAGCTACGTCCGTTTGCGTCGAATCATAGCAATTGTGTGGTATCGCGATCATGAGTGAAATGGAAGATTTTATTAACAAAAGGAACAATCAATATATATATATATATATATATATCGCTCCGTTGCTACCGGTATGATCGAGAGACTCGAAGTGGAGCGCGCCGAAGAACGCCCTGAAGTAGACCGGACGAAACGGAGACCGGATGAACCGGCCTCTGAGCCGGGAATTCACCCTATAACCCGCATCGATCTATGCACATTCGATTAAGCCGCGATCGAGCCTCGATCGATCACCGAATCGCGCACGACAACCGAGACATGAACACCTATCGAACTACCGTCGCTCAGCTTAGGAATTACATGTAAAGAAAAGAACGTGTCTTAATTGCGCCGTATCTAAGCGAAAAGAACACGGGCAAAAGGAAGCGGCAAAATACTTGCACACACATACACACACACACACACACACACATATACACATACGCGCCAGAGGAGGGTTACACCGGCCATGAGGGGGTGTACATGCGTGCACGTCCGAGCGAGAAGACGACACGACGCCGTTTAACACACGTTAACACACAGAAACTCGTCGCGCTAATAGACCGATATGAAGAGAGAGAGGAGAGAAGAAAACAAAAAAAAATATATATATATTATATATAAATATTTATGATATATGAGTGACGAGAGATCGGAGGGGAGTAAGATAAACTGTGAATGCGCGGCGGACGAGGAATCGCGTCCCGCCTCGCGATCGAATTCAACGAGGCCACCGGACAGGGACGACGACGGCTATCATCGACGGCGACCGATGCTCTAATTCTGCCGAAGACTAAAAGAATTAAAAAGAAAAATAAGCAAAGAGACGAAAGATGCCCAAGGGATCTGTACAGAGCGGCCAGCGATACCTCGTCGCGTCACGCGGATCTGTACTGTATTTTACGATATTACACGACTATATGTATGTACCTACGTGGATAACAAGCAAAAAAAAATGCCAGAAAAAATAGACGTCTAATGAGGTATGAGTGACCGCGATTAAGGGTCATCGGCGACGCGACCGCCCGCATATAATTCGATGATAAAATAGGTGGTGTGTATAGATAACGTAGAACTCTAGTCAACATAATATTTGTAAGATGACGCGCACACTCACACAGCCCCGTACACACACACGTGCAGGCACACGGGATATTACCACACGCACACACACACATACACACATGCATACTCGTTTCATTCGTTTCACACACATACACATACACTCCTGCACACAAATACACGTACACATCGCGTTAGTTCGCATCTCTAGCATTCTCCCGATTCTCGTTTCATTTTTACCTTCTTCTATTTTTCTCTCGTCGTCCACAGCGCGCGCAAGCGCGAGCGCGATTGATGGAAAAAGAATGAAAAAGAAAGATGTGTTGACGCGTGATTGCATTTTCCGTCGTTCGTCCACACCGAATGGCTGTATAAACAGCTGTTGCTGCAGGGGAGGGCATAATTTTTCTTTCCTCTTTTCTCACTTTTTGTTAATCATATTTCGAGGCGAGCCACGCGGGGTGGGGGTGGGGGGAGGGAGACAAACGGCTCGCCGATATTAAATCGCGAATAATGCCGAAGCGTCGCTCGATAAGAAGCGTGGATTAATCGGGCCCCCGACACGTTCGTCGGATTTTCTGCTTTTCTTTTCTTTCCTCCCCTTTTCCCTTTTCCGTTCTTACTTCTCCCTTTTTTTTCATCTTTCTTCTTCGCTCTCGGTATAACGAAGATTGCGATTGTAACCGGCGCATTCGCGTGGACCACACGGGGAAAAGCGAACGGCCGTTCCGAGTTGGTTTTTTATGTGATAATATATACGTACGTATGTGCATATGTGTATTTTATTAAGCGAACGTAATCGCGAGCACGAATCGCGCGATGAACGCCGATCGTCGGCGCAACGCCGCCGATCGAAGTTTGTTACTTACGAATAAGAGGATCCGGCGATTAATAAGTGGATGTGTTGTAAGAAAGAAACAAATGCAAAAAGAAAGCGGAAGTTGTGCACGTCGAGATACGTCGAGTCGCAACCTCTCAGTAGACTTCAAAATAGCCCTGTAAAAAGAAAGAAAAAGAAGAAAGGAAGCAGAGAATTGTACTCAAGCACGTTCGATTGTCTCGTATTTTACACACGTACGACGCCGCGGATTCACTACACGACTTGGTCACAGAGCACGAGTATAAGGGCGACTTACTTTCATTCGTGCGTACGCGCTTATACGGCCTACGGTTGACTGTAAGAAAAAGAAAAGAAAGAAATATGAAAACGAAGAAGAAACACACATGTATGTTCACACGATGTTTCGCGTAACTAACGCTCCACGATCGACACACACAGATTACACACACACACACACATACACACGCACGCACACATATGTCAAGCCATCAGAGATCAAAGATCAACCGGCGAAACGAGAGTGCGATTTGTAGCGATTCGAAGAAGAAGAGGGGGTAGGGCGGGGAGGGTAGTAGAAGGATTCAGGGGGAGTCCTACGAGACGCAACGGGTATCACACGAATCCGCGCCACACCCTTTATTAATCGACGAACACGGTGAGAGGAATGCGCAATTACATACGTAAAACAGTCGAGACTGCCAGACAAGTACCTACGAACATTCCTTCCTTTCTCTTATCATTTTCCTCGTTAACTCTTTCGCTACGACTGCGCGCGAGCGAGAAGCAACCTCGGGGTGATGCGTTCCTTTCCTCTTTCCTTCCTTCCTTCCTTCCTTTCTTTTCTCTCATCTCTACGCGCGCGCTGTTTCCGAACACGTCTCGGCGAATCCGAACAGATTTCAAAGTTCTTAGAGCTCAAAGGCGAATTTGGACATTCGAGTTCTCTCTGTATACGTGGCGATGCGTTCGAGGACGAAGGTAATGATCAAACAAAGATCCCAGACAGCACGAAATATTCCAGCAATATTCTCATGATATGCGAATTTTCTGATTCCAGAATATTCGAGTCCAGGATATTCTACGAATATACGTGAACAATATTCTGACGGAGGCTCGTACATTTACAGTAGAAACGAGTTATTCTCAGAGCACTCGTAGAGTTTGTTTACCACGCATGTGTGCAGTGTACATTCGCGTAACTGGAGTTTTCCAAATGTTCCAGGTAGTAGTATGCATTTATTATAGCTTAGCGATGTGAAACACATATCTACCCAATGAAACGCCCAAATTATTCCTTTATGAGCAAAGCCAATGATTAACCTGCGTTTTGTAAATATTTCACGCACATTCACGGAACATTTGTAGTCGTGTTGTTCGAGTGTGCTATGGACGTACTGTGAACATATTTTTAGTACGTTCAGAGAATGTATTCGTAAAGGAATATTCGCGGAACATTCGTAGAATAATTCTGCGCTATCTGGGACATTACGACGGGCTGTTCGCGTCCTCGAAATGATTAGTCTTCGCCACGTACGCGTCGTTTTGCACGAGAGCGAGAAGGAAACTGTATAGGCATATCGTTATCTGCGCGCGAGCCACGCAGATATATGAAGATAACACACGGATATATATCGGGCGGCCGGCCGAACGTTATCTCGATAAGAGCCCGGCGAGATCACATTTAGTAGCGAAAGAGTTAATCTTCGAGCGTATAGCGACCGCACTGCCTTCGATAGAGTTTTTAACAGATCAATTCTAACCATCGATCGCGAGGATGAGAAGAACAAAAAAAAAAGAGAGAAGAGTTCGACACGCGTCGCAAGGACGAGCCGCGTGACGCACCGAAGCAAAGCGCTTAACAATGACAAAGAGGGAGAATAAGGAAAGGAAAGCAAATCAAAAAAAAAGAACTCCGTTGTTTCTCTGTTCCTATCGCGTCACGCGAGTCGTCCTCCCGGTCGGCGCGACTCGTTAATTAATTATTATAATAAATCATTAAGCGGCTAACGACACGCGCGTCGACGAGTCGTGGACTCGCGGCGCGTCGGTCTAAAATGCGGTTCTCGTCGATTTCCACTACTCGAACTACAGTACGCGTCTCAACGAAAGCACAGAGAGATTTTAGAGAGATTTAAAGAGCAGATAATATAATGATTGCGGTATCAGTCATTATGTGCGATAGTATTACACTCGTTTTTTTAACTGTACGCTTTATTCGAGAAACTCTGTCCGTGCTTAAGAACATATACGTCTAATAAATAGTTTGCGAGAAATTTGCAACTGGTCGAAATCAGTCGAGTTTTACTCACCAGCGAGCCACCAATCGAGGCTTTCACGTCTACCATCCTGTTGTTGTACAGTCGATCGCCGCTTTCCCAAAGAGGTAGAAAGAGAAAGAGAGACGGCGCGCAACGACGACCCGATAACCAAGCGTCTCGATCTCTGCTGCGCCGTACACACTGTTAAGCGTCACCGTCGTCGCCAAGAGCCTCTCGACAATCATCCGATTTCGTGGTCGTCGCATCTTTCCCCTTAAGACTCCCATTTCCTCGCCGCCAAACTCTGATTGACGTCAGAAGCGAGAAAACGCGCGCTCAAAATTATTTCTCTTGAGATAAAATGATATGTTTATAACATAATATTCGCCATCGATCGAGCAGATTCGTAAAATAGTCCGAGCACTTCCCCTTTACTCTGACGATCGATAAATAGCTGTAAAATTAACGTGACAGAATCATAGAAAATGTTAGGTTAAAGAGGAAAGTTGCATGTCACGTTAATTTTAGTTATTTATTAGTCGTTTGATCGAAAGTATCTGGATTATTTCAGAAGTTTGTTTGATCTATTGCAATGTGTCATTTTATGGATACATCTTTTATTTCAACGTATTTTGCGAGAATTTTTGTATTTTTTTCGCTTCTGACGTTGTTAGTCAAGATGGCCACGGCATCAACGGGAATTGATGTGTCTTTCTACGCGAGAGCCGCGTTACACGCTGCTACATGGTGCACGGTGATACATCGCGCACGATACATCGAAGTATCGTCGTTCGAAGTGGATATTTTCGCGTCTTGCACAAGGAAATGTAATAATTTTAAAACAAGGATTCTCCTGCCCGCAATAATAATTGATGATCCACTTGTACTACCACAAAGCAATCGTGAGTTCTTTTCTACGTACACGTACGATAGTACGAAACGCGCGAAGACTATTGTCACGACGAGAATGCGTCTTTTTTATTGTCAACGTAGTCGTCTCACATAGCTGGGAGTAGCTAGTATCGCTCTCCCAAAATAATGATTGTTGCGATCGATGGCCATGACTATATGTAGCAATACACTTCTTACTTGAAGCTGTGTGCGGTTCTCTTTTGCGTTTGTTTGTCGTTATCGACTCTCAATCTCTCAACTTTAAGACCACGCGGACTGCGCGAGCTGAAGACGAAGCATTGGCGGGTCGATGGCGAGTCCAATCGTCACCGCTCGTCATTATTTAACGAAACTGAAGCCAACAGTCTAACTGTGCTCGTCGATGCAAGATTTGAAGGTAGGTGAATGTATTGTGCATTGTGTAGCTTACGATAAGTTCATGTCGACTCATAAACACAGGAATCATGGGAACAGGCGAGGGTGCGGCTATTCGTTTTCATTCTCTCACTTTTCTTTCTTTCCTTCTTTCTTTCTTTTTTTACAAAAATAAGTCTTTATTTGTAAACGAACTCTTTGACAGTAGTCGCTCCAACAGACAAACACCCGGAGGATCGTATCCGTAGAGCGGCGTTGGCGGTCGCGAGAATCTCGATGGCGAAAAATCGTAACTTACTTGACTTAATAACACTCATGCTTTGGCTTGCTTTGCTTACTGGAATCTCGTTTTCCGTTCTTTTTTTTTTTTTTTTGTTCTTTTTTGCTTTTTTCGGTTTCTCGTTTTTGTTTCGATATTTGATTAACACTTAGACGGTGATAGTGAAGTCCTTGGGCGATTTGGAGAGCGAGTTATTCGAATGCAGGCCGGTCCGCTTCCTCTGCAGCTTCAGCTTCATGTCGATGTCACACTCGGCTTCACTGGTCTCGTGAACGTCCGTGAAGCCGCTCGGTGGCTTCAATTCCAACGTAGACAGTTCGCTGCCCCAATCGTCGTCCCTCCTCATCATTCTGAACGTGCCCGCCGGCTCCTCCAGGAGGCACAGCGATTCGACGGACTTCCTGCCGCTCGGCGGCTCCTTCTCCAGCCTGTCGTAGGAACCAGGACGCACCGGGCGACTCGGCGAGGCTCCTCGCGAGTACGAATGCATCCCGGACTCCGACAGCTTGAGCACCGGTCGCAGTATGCCGGGGATGCGACCGTCGATCGCGACGTCTGTTATCGCGCTGCGACTCCTGCCGAGATCGAGTTGCTGGTGAATCAAGAGACAGGGTCGCTGCTCAAGCGCGGCGAAGCTCGTTCGGACAAATTAATCGACAAACAAATCTGATATGCATTGCAATTGATTTTACTCCGATCATTTTTTATGCACATGTATTTATTAGGTTGCTGCAAAAGATTTGTCATGCTTGTCAAATAAAATAAAAGACGAAATTATACCAAACTTCGAAAGCTTGTAATGACTTTTATGAATAAAATAAATAAAACATCGATGTTATGTTTCGTTAGACATTTAACGAGGACTTTATATCTCCCTTCTAATATTTAAATCTCTTAAAAAAATTTAACAGAACAATAACAAATCTCTTACAGCAATCTAATATTGTATAATCAGACTCCTCATGTAGAATAACATTCTGAGGAGACAACGAACCACGAGCTTCGCATGCACCGCAACAGTCTAATCGACAGTCTCACCTTTGCTTTTCGAGCCTCGGGAAGGTCTTCCTCTCAGAAATTGGTGACGGCTCGGTTGATGTACTTGATTCGTGCGTGTGGTAGAGCACATCTGGAAAGCGTACGCGGGGACGTTTTGGCGTGGGAAGTAGTTAGTGGCACTTGGTTACGGTAGAGGCCCGGAACACATAAAACCGAATACTAACTTACTATGATGAACCGGTCGCTGCACCAGGGCGAGTCGCTGCTCCCTCTGATTGACGGAATTCGGTCCCGGCGAGCGAGCCATTATCGACGTAGGACCGGAGTCGTCCAGGTGATTCGACGACTCGGTACGGCTGCTGGTGCCGACCTCCGTGTCGCTGTCCGAGCCCAGCGTGTCGTACTCCTCCGATTCCGATTTGAACGACTTCGATTTGCGTCGCGCCCGACCTCGCACCTTCGTATACTGGTCCACGTCGCACTGCAATCGAATCGATTCGACGTGTAGGGCTCTTTGCGGGAAACGAGGTATGTTTGAGACACGCGACTCTTGCAAACGTCATTCGTCGAGCGAGCCTTTCTAACGCGAAATAACGGGAAACAGTAGTCGTGAATAGATATCAGACGCTCGAGTTGATTAATAAAGGGTTTTTTACGAGCTGAGCCCGAGAGAAGAATATTTTTTTATGTAGAATATTTTCTGGATTATTCTCCAATAAGAGCTCGTGACAATCCACGCTAAGTTTCATCAGGTACACACATAAAATATTCAGTAACTAAATGGAAACTATACAGAAGAACTCCCTGACGAGGGATAACATCTCTGTTACTGCGACCGAGAGCATTCGTCTGAATATTCAGCTGCGTTAAAACACGGTTGAAGTGCGAGATTGAGTGTGACAGCAATTGACTGAGTAGAAGTCTCTTTCGGGAGACTTTCTGGCTGCTGCAACCGAGTTTTTCATCTGGTTCCCAGAGATAACAGAAAATTCAGTTACGCTAATGAAATTGTTTTTTTTTCCGCATAACCAGATAACCGATAACCCGATGATTTTAACTTGAAACCGTACACAATACAAATAATTCATGCACTCTCTACAAGAGAAGTGTAGAAATATTAACACGAATTCGCGAGAAGAAAGAAAGAGAGAGAGATATTCCCATCGTGTCACTTCATTAAAGACGCCACGCTATCTTGAGAACGCTGGAGAAAATATCAGAAATCACTAATTTTTTTCAACGCAACTATAAATTATGAACAATTTTCTCTATTTGCAATATTTAGTACACGGCTTAATGAAAACTGTGTAAAAATTATTTTAAAAAATATTAAAAAAAGCCGGGTTATATGTATACACGAAGCTCCTTTCCAGAAACGCGCACTAATAGTGTACACAATATCTCGAAAACCAATTATCCAATTGATCTCTAATTTGACACACATATTTCCAACAAGATTACCTAAGATGCAATGCGTAGGATTCTTGAAAAAAAAATAAACTGTAGAAGTTACAGTAAGTTGAAAGTAAAAGTTTCTACATCCTATAATTCAGCTATTTTCAAATAGCTTTTAAAGCTTTGCATATAAAATTTTCAAACCACATATCAAACATTGTAAAAAGAAAAATTTGTTCAAAATTTATAGTTGCGTTGAGAAAAACTCATAATTTTTTTACGTTATTTTTCAGCGCTTCAAAGTGACTTTTAATGCATGGAAAGGACAACTACGTTAGTGTAACTGAATTTTTTGTTACTTGGGGACCAGATAAAAACTCGGTTGTAAGAACAGAAAGATTCCCGTAGGAGGTTTATACTCAGCCAATCGCTCTCGTGTCTGTATTAACAGTCGTCACTTAAGACTTGTCCCACATGAGACACTCAAGTCTAACTTTAGAGTTAGATAGTTAAGTTTTTCACTTGAATCACATATAATCACATATAGTCTACGACATATTACATTTATATTCGCGATTCCAGCTAGAAACTCAGTTCATCTCCAAATTGAAATCTGAGTATCTCGCCTGAGGCAAGTTTCAAGTAACGACTATTGATACGGGTCTCAGTAATCTCAACTGAGTTCTAGTGCAGCTGAATGTTCTCAGACGAATGTTCTCGGTCACGATGACAAAGAAAGACATTATCTCTCGTCAGCGAATTCTTCGTCCGATCCATATTCAGTTGAACGAAGTGGAATTTTGTTTTCCGTGTGAGATTATTCGGTCGCCGTGGGGGGTGCTCCGTGGCCGTAGCGGCTAGCCTAGCCAACGTCGTATTTCTTTGGAAATTTTTTATCAGCTCAGACGTCGCGTTTGCGGGAGCGGTGTCAAAAGAATCGCAAGATAGATCGCGCGAGGCGATGCTCCTCCGTGTGAGAAATAAACGTACTTGAGCACCTTGCAGCATCGTCTCGCTGCGCTCGTAGAAGAACGCTTGTCTCATGGGGTTCGCCGAAAGATTTTCCTGCTCGGGCAGATTGAAGGTGGCATACGGATAAATATCTTCTGAATACTCGGGTATTCGTTCCAGGGCGCTCACCTCGCGGCAAGGTGACTGCTGTCCCGGTTTCCTCACGGTGGCGTAGTACTGTTCCCTCTGTTCCATATTGTGTTTGTTGTCTAAAGCCGCCTGTGTTTGCGAGCTCGGGTCGTTCGCGCCCCTGGATCCCTCCGGATCTAGAAACGTCGCGTGCGTGCGCCGATAGACGCTTCGGGTAAGTATAACGATCACCAGGACGCGGATCTCTCTCGCGTAACGCAATATAATCGCGCGCTATTGTACACAAAACTAATTTGCGTCATTATGTACAACGTGCACTATGTACTTCCGCGATGTTCTCCAACGAGAACTTCAAGGGTGAGCTGCCTGCAAACGAAGGAGCAAGTTTGTATCCGCCCGATATATGTCCGCGAACTCGCAGCTTCCGCAGCTGTACAATTCGGCTCTTGCTCCGTTCGTTCAACGTTATCACCGTAAAACGATGAAAAGTTGACGGGAGGAATTGAAACTCGATTTATCGATTCAAGCACGCGGTAAAAAACACTTTGTGTATTTATCCGTGTAGAAATATTTGTGTTGAATTTTTAACGTATTTGTGTATTAATTTTAGGTATCGCTTGTGTTATTTTTATTATTTTACGTTGAGTTTACTTCGAAATGCTAAAATAATACAACTTATGCGTACAACATGTATATTCCTGGTGATATATATTTTATACGTAGAGTTATATACAAATTAAAAGGTTAAAGTTTAAATATATATTAAATTGAAATTAAATACGGATAAGTTGTGTTATTTGTTAAAACATATCTGCTTTATTTGTTAAATTAATGCAAAAACCAGAGTGGATGAATTGGGAAGTGTGAAATATGTGTTAAATTTAACACAAAATCTTTTTCGGTGCACATCCGCAACCATCCAACCACTTGTTAATTGAAGAACTCATTTTTTGAATTAATATTTAACGAGAAGCATATCATTGTATACATATGTATCATTTAATTATAGTTTATGTGTGTTTGTTAAATACACACATGTTAAGACATTTATTGACATTAACTAAACTAAACCTCTCAGAGATATAGTTCACGAATTACTCCAGTTGTACAAACCATTCGAGTTTGTCGTATAATATATATTCTCCAGGGAGAAATTCAAGGATGTCGATACACAGAGCGTGTGTCTGGCAAAGATATCGTTCCCTCGTTTCCGGACCGCGCAGAATTTTCGTTGCTAAGAGGACGATTCTTACGCTGATAAAAGTGTTAGAAATAATGCATGAAGGAACACTGTCGCTCAGCGATTCTTATTCAGTACGAGCGCGCCGGATGAAAATTATGCATAGCGAGAGATTCTTGCCGACGGTTTCCACCGACGGTTATCCGAAGTAACGGACGGCTACGTGATTCGTTTATGAAGTTTTTAATTAAACCAAACGCTCGCGGCGAATATCGCGAGCATCGTGCTGTTGACATTGTACCTGATATTGAGAGAGTAGTTGACGAAAAATAAAACAACGAGACCGTTCCATCCCTGTAGTTCCAATCCGCCGCGAAATCGTTACAATGTGTACCAAGTGAAATACGCGAAAATAAATGGCACTGGGCAGATTTTTTTCACCGGAAAACCGAGGTATCGAGTCGTCCGCGTTTGCCGAGCGCGCGCTCCACGCGCTCGACGGTAAAGCCGATGAGGCGAGACTTGTCGGGCTGGTACTTACGCGTCTTGAGGCAGAAGCACACGCCGGCGACCGCCAAGATGACAGCCAGCACCGAGATGACGCTGGGCGCCAAAACGTGCGCGTCGAGATAGAGAGGTGTGGTTTCGCTCTCCTGCGGATGATCCTCGTGCAAGCGGTTGTTTCCATTCGTCGACAGCGTGCTGAACAGGTACTCAGCCTGGGTGGAACCGGCGTTGTTGTAAGCCGTCACGCGGAGCTCGTAGCTGGTACCGCTCTCTAGATCCACGATGGGGAATTTCGACTGCGGCGGCACATTATTGGACACTGAAATGTACGTTGGTCGGACCTGTGTAAATATTAATTCTGCGATACTGTACGATGAGATATGTGGCCGAGAGCAAACGAGCGAGCGGGCGAGCGGGCGAGAGAGCGAGAGAGCGAGAGAGAGAGAGAGAGAGAGAGAGAGAGAGAGAGAGCGAGAGAAGGAAGACCACGAAACGCATGTGCTGCTCTAATATTTCATAACATCGCGATTAATAATTGCACATAAACGTGCAGATAATTATCGTAGAGAAACCAAGTGTTTAATATATGTATGATTAAAGCAGTCACGAATCATTATAACGATTACGTTACAATAAGACACTCTCGAGCGTTTCGATCTCGAATATAAGCAAGTATCCAAACTCGTAAGCAATGAAGCATCAAATATCGGACGCAATTGACAATTCGCATCAGCATACTTGATATGCTTCGCAAAACGCCCTCGGAGAAGGTTGATTATATTTGCAAATTACTCCCCTGGGGAGAGGGAGGGGGCGATCAACGTCACATCTCCCGCGAATGATTATCGATCGTTATTTCTTCGCGCAACTTCCGACTTACCGAAGAGTTGTACGTTCTTACCTAGCAGCCAGTCCCCGGGCAGCCTCCTATATTCCACGACAAAGTAGGTCAACGGGCAGCCACCGTCTTGCCACGCCGCCAACTCCAGAGTAACGAACGTCTGGTTCGTCCTGACGAAGTGATGCTTCGGCGGCGGCACCGGTTTCGAGCCGTTGGTCTTCGCCGTCTGTATGTCGCTCGCGCTGCCGCTGCCGATCCGGTTAAACGCTGCGAGGGTGAACTGATACCGCGTGCCGCATCGCAAGCCTTCCAGGAGATGCGTGCTCGCTCTGCGATCCAGCATGACTTCCTCCCATTCGGCGAATTCCCGGCGATAAGCCAAGAGGAATCCTTTAATAGGCGCGCCACCGTTGTCGCCCTGCTTCCATTGTAGCTGAATGGCGTCGGTCGTCGTGCCGGTTGCCAGCAGAGTCGGCGACGTCGGCGGCACTATGCGTAAAGTTTACCAATTAGAACTTGGCTCTCGTGTGCTCAACGCTGCGAAACACCGCCCGACCAGGCGCGCTCCCGAGACGCGGCGATACGTCGTTTCTCGCTCTCGCTTAGCGATGCGGGAGAGGGAGGGCGGCGGCTAAGAATTCATAGGATAACGAGCAAGTTATCCCGCAAGACTCGCCCTCGCCCTCGCGTAAATCTGTGAGGTAATATATCTTGAGCGATTTCGCGAGAAGGAATAAAAGCGCGATATTTTCAGACAAAGTGTTGTCTCCCAAATCGAATTGTTCATTACAGGTTTGAGTTATCGTGGTGAAAGAGAATCAAACGAGATATTTTCACAAGAGAGGTAAGATAAAGTACCAAAGTCTGGGTATTAATAACACTAGTATCTAATTCTGGACATTCTTCTTATTTTGGTTCTTAGATACTAATAAATTTAAACTTTCAACGTAGAATATATGTAATACATGTATATATAAAATAGAATATCTATCTATACATTCCCTATTTTACCTCTAAAGTTTTTAATCGATGTGGACCAAATATTGCATAGTTATTCCTTCTAGGATCCTGCAAAAAATACAGACTTCCATGAAACCTAGACACGCCCCCTCCTCTCCCTGATTTCACCTCCTTTGTGATAACTCGAATAGTTTGAGCTGATTTTTTATACTGAAAGTTTAGATATTCGCATTTAAAGACCAAAACAATAAGAATGTCCAGAATTAGATACCGGTGTAATTAGTGTCCAGGGTTTGTAGTTTCCAGGGTAGTTTCACTTTACTCCTCTGTTGTCGCAACCGGCAAATTGAGCCGTTGAAATTAGGTCACTAAATTGTATCATCGGAATAATCCCGTGCAACATTAAGAAACTTGACGCGTGCGCGCGTTAGCGGAAATGCGATTAACCCCGACCCATTAACCGTCACGACGAAATTCGTTTGGCGCGACCTACCCTGTATATGCAAGGTATACGTGATCTCGTCGGTGCCGAGCGAGTTCTTCGCGTGGCACGAGTAGTTGTCCTCGTGATTCCTCTGCACGTTCCTCAGAGTCAGCGTATTGTCCGGTCCCACGTTGGATCTGCAAAACTCGCCCCGTGAATCGCAACGTCCCACCTGTCCGCGCCGCGCTACGCTCGCTACACTTACTTCTGCTGCAATTTCATGTCGGCGCGTCGCCACTCCACACTCGGCTTCGGGTCGCCGACAACCAGGCAAGCCATATTAACGTCCACCCGCCACGGCACTACGATGGACATGCCGAACGATATTATAGCGGCTGGAACTAATTAAAAGACCACCGTTACGAGTTTCCCATTCGCGCAGCTCGTTCGTTCACGCGGGCGATATCGAAAAGTCATAAACACACCGCTCCGCGCCTCTGTTATGCGGAATATTTCATCTCGGGTTGCGCTTACTCGACAACGGGAAAAACTTTCGTCCGTGCTCGGCGCGCTCAGAAAACGGTAAACCCCGAGGATACTCTCGACGCTTAATATCGAGCGTCGCTCGTGTAATTCTCTCGCAAGTTGGCGAAAGAGCGCGCAAAAAAGTTTGATCGAAGCACCAGCATGAGACTCGCGCCCGGCGCGATGAAGTTTCATCGCGGCAAAGACTGAAAGCATTTTCACCGGCGAGTCGACTCACCGTTGGCGCTGGGCTGGAACTTGATGACCGGCGTGCTGGAGCCCTGGCCGACCTTGGTCGAGGCGGTGACCCACGCCTCGTAGGACTCGTGCAGCTTCAGACCGGTCGCCTCGTGATGCAGGCTCTGCGCCGGCAAGATGCTCTTGCTGATCTTCACCTCCTGCCCTTGGTCCAACACCCGGATGTAGACGGTGTACTTGGTGAGCAGGCCGTTCGGCCGGCGAGGCGGCAGCCAGGATACCACCACGGCGTTCTCGCCGCTGACCACCGCCTTCACACGCTCCGGCGCGTCAGGCACTACGGGCAAACGGCGGTGTCTCTTATGCAGGAAATCATCGGTTATTTAATTAGAGAGATGGGAGAGTCAGAGAGGGCTTCTGCCCGGCAAATGGAAAGGTCCGGGTTCGACTACTGGCAGTATTTTTCGCAATATAAAATTGAACTACTTAACAAGCCAATTAATGGTTAGTTTGTACGAGAATGAAAAAAGGGAAATTTAATACCGCCTCAATTGGGAATTAAGGACAGTTTGAACAAGGAAAGTAGGTTCACACCGCGCGTAGCGAAGTTTTAGATGGCCCCAGAGATATATTGACGATGTACTTTTTTTTTAGTTGGTCCTTTTGGAATAACGTGGTCCTTTTAAAACCTGGATACTTTTTCCTGTGTTTCATTAAAATCAGAATAATATTACAGTTAAAGAAGTAAAGAAAACTGATTTAGTAGTAGCAGAGTAAATTTTCCAGCTTCTCGAAATTTTATATTAACATTCTTCGTCATGAGTGGATAAAGTTAAGCGATGTGTTACGAGTTAAAATAAAGTTTCTTACAAGTGTATAATATACTCTGTTGCGAACAATAAAAGCAATTTTCATTCATAAAATGCTTGAAATCAAGCATATGTCACAGCAATTGTCTGAGAAATTGTAACTTCGAAATTCTGAAATATAAGACATTTAGTCTCTACGTTTAAAATAAAACCGAAGATAACTTCAATACGTGCGTCTCACTTATTTCAAACAACGAGATCTTCCTTGATGAATATTTCTATTTGGCAATCGCATCAAAGAACCATGAGATTTCTGCTCTTGTGTGTCACTCTTTCTACTTGTTCTACACTTTACATTATCTCCACGAGAGAAGACTCTATCTATATATGTATATATAAATGTGTATATAAATTCATAATGCCATGAACTCCGCATTGAATATTGCTCATAAGATGAATAATTGGAAATTACATCCATTCAAAAAAAAGTGGAGGTTTCATAAGTTAAATACGCTCGCATATCTAAGGTGAGTCTCATAAATAATGGATTTATTCCACTCTCTGGCTCTTTGAACGCGATGAATCGATCGTGCCGCAAAACATCCCCCGTCTCGAGCGCGTCGGAAATAGATCGCCGGCCGATTTCGATTATTGCAGAAACTCGTCGACTCGACGGTCGTTCTCACCGGTCTCCTCGGTAGTGCAGGACACGGGGTTGCTGCTGACACCCTCGCCCGCCCTGGTGTACGCCAACACCTGCACCGTGTAGTTGGTGTACGGGCTGAGCGCGTGCAGCACTGTGATTAGTGTATGACTGATCTTCGTCTCTCTGCCGGCTTGCGACTCCGAAGCTGCGCCGCTCGCCGCCTCATACAGTAGCTTGTACCCCTGAACGACCCCGTGAACTTTGTCGGAAGGTGGCGGTTTCCAGGTCACCTGGATGTTCTGGCCAGTCAGTGCGGTGCAGGCTACATTCTGCGGTGGCGCACTTGGAACTATGTCAAATCGTACCCCGTAAATCGCTTGTAGCGCCGTTGCTCCCCCTCGTGCCGACAAAAACGCGATCTCCTCGGCGGAATTTATATAGCTGATAGCACGGCCCGCCACGATACGCGGCCGGCTCGTTGCGAATTTACACGTCAGATCACATTAAAAACTAATACCGTACGGGTGGCCCGGCGATTGACGCGCGCCGAAACCTTGTTTGCTAATTCCTTCGCGAGCTTAACGGCGAAAAACTCGCCGGGCCATTGTTGCCCGGCGAAATAATTGTTGAATTACTGTTAGCCGGTAATGCGACACGCGCAAAAGCCCGCTCTACAAACCGATATTATTACGCGAATTACTGTTACGTTGTCGGACGTATGCATTATAGATTGTGCGACGCGTTTACACAAGCAACATACTGTATGACAAACTTTAAATTATGACATTAATTTGTAATTTGAAACCTGATCTCTCTCATCATTTGTGACTCTCGATTACATTCGGCCGGTAATCAAAATGCAAAGGGGCTGTGTATAGCTCAAAGCACCGCGCGATTGCTTTATTTAACGCGGTGAACATTTTCATTAACTCGACATCCCGCGGACTTGGAGTGAGCGAGGGGGAAAGGGTGAACGTGCGGCCACTTTTCACTCACCGTCCTCGTATGTGTGCGCTATTACCGCCTCGGATCCCGGGCCGTCTCCTTTGCTATTGAACGCTTTCACTACTATGCTATATTTAGTATATTTTCGCAGGCCGGTTAGCCTGTAATCGTGCGAGCCGTCCCCATTTCCTGTGATTCCTACCCGCGTCGTGTTCGTCGATTGATCATCTCCTCTGAAATAAAGCGGCGACTCGTTGAAGCGAGAAGATAACGCCAAGACATTCGACAACGTGACAACCTAGATTACGTCAAGTCGAACGAATGATGTGAGTCGCGAGGAAGGATTATTTCAAGTGATTCCTTCTTCCCGAAAACACGTCTAGGAATTGCCGAAAAGCGACACTTTGGAGTGTCAAATTATACGAGAATGGCGTCGTCGGTATGACGCCTTCTCGTCGCGAAGTTAATAATGTTGGAAAGAAAGAGAAGCATGGACAGCATATATTAAAATGTACAAGGCTATTCTCCTCTTCCCCTTCTTATATATCTTATTACTCAAAAGTTGGCGCTGTCCAAGAACGTGGAGAAATCCTTGGCACGGAAGTCGCGTCGCCAAAGTTTACCGGAAATCGTCTTTACCGTTCGCATTTATTACGTCTCGCCACCCGATTCCGGTATAATGAAGGAGGTAACAGTCTCGAAATTCAATGGCGTATAAGTGTAGAGCTTGGACAAAAAAACATTTAAAGAATTCCATGATGCTCGTCCCAAAACTTGCTCGAAATTGAAATGTGCGGTAAAACATGAATCAATTCCGGTTCGACATAAAATTATATATAGTTATAGCGCACATAATTAACAATCTCCATTATCCTACCTACATTTTGTATTATAATGTCGAATTCGACAACATTCATGCATATATTGCTCGATTGTTTATTTGTATGGCTTCATTCTATTGCTATTGATTTTCCTCTAATCGAACAGAATAGAAGAATTGTTCTTAAATTTCTTCTTTCTTGTGTATACATCACTGAGAGAAATTAATTGAGAGAATTAATTCGACGAGAAATTAACAGACGGATATCTGCGATCAAAATATCGATGAATTTTGTATTCGTTCAAGAAGCATTCGATGAGAAATATCGATTCATAATTATCGGTTCATTCATAATATCGGTTTATTTGATGAAATGCCATTATGATCGTAAGTACTCCATAAAATTTAATCGGATATCCTAATAGGATATAAAAATTCATCGATATTTTTTGATCGCGGAAATATCCATTTGTTAGTTTTTATCGGATAATTTTTCTCAGTGTATATTTTATGAACTTTAAATCGGGACTTTGATACTTTAACACTTTAAAAATTTTACATTTTTGTTGTGAAACAAGATCTGTCAGTTATAGCAAAATGAGATATTTAACGTTTAACAAATTGACATTGCAGATGTCAAGAAAATCCCCGAGTAGAAATTGAACCTCGTCGGTGTCTAGCTACGAGATAGTAAATTTCTGTCTTCTGACTTCACTGCTAGTAATGTAATGCTAACACGGAGAAAACACTAAGGATGTCACTCACGTAAATATGGTTGTCACGTACAACAAAATATTAACGTTATTAATGTTATCTTTCGCCCATGCATACAAAGTGGTGTAGTAAACATAATATTCTGGAAGCGGTATACAGGTCTTCTTTGCTGCCTGTTCATATATGTTGAGTGATACTCCCAGTACACTACATTTAGATATAAGTTATATACTAACCGAGCATATTACGTATCTCTTATAAGAACTTTTGTGACTGCGAGAACTAGATGAACGGCTAACAATAGCAACTTTTCACGCAATATCTGTGTAACTTGAAGTGTCGGTTTTTCTCTCCATAGAAAATGTCAATGTACATTCTGTCAAAAAAGTATCGGGAATTGTCGATTTAAACCGCCCGCGCTAGTCGAAGGTATAAAATTTTTTTTTCCCAGGTTGGTACAACTGTCCTTAATTATGATGCCAAGTTAGAGTGGAATCTGTCAACCAGTGTGTTTACAATAGCTGGTTAAGTCAGTCGATGTCAGTAGTGCGTGCCGATTTTTACAATGAGTGAAAATATTGAACAAAGAATTTGTCTCAAATTTTGTGTTGCGAACGAAATTTCGTGTGCTGATGCATTGAAGATGTTGCAGAAGGCTTATGGTGATTCAACACTATCAAAAACCCGTGCATATGAGTGGTACAAAGCCTTCAAGGAGGGTCGAAAAGTCGTCGAAGACTTGCTTCGTTCTGGACGCCCGTCGACAAGTTTGACCGAAGATAACATCGAAAAAGTGAAGGAAATTGTACTCGAAAACCGTCATTCTAGCTTAAGAGAGGTAGCACACGAACTTAACATGTCCCATGAGTCCGTTCGTTCGATTTTGGTCGATAATTCGGGCGTGAGACGCGTCGCCGCAAGACTCGTTCCAAAAGACCTGAATGCGCCGTCTCACCGAACTACGATTGTGACTGATTTTCTCGCTAAAAACTCAACAAATGTACTTGAATAACCACCGTATTCACCAGATTTGGCATCGTGTGACTTCTTCCTCTTCCCAAAACTGAAATTGCCACTCCGGGCTACCCGTTTTGAGTCGATTGAAGCCATCAAACAAAAATCGGCGCGTGAACTGGAGGCCATCCCGAAAAGCGCTTATAAGAAATGTTTCGAAGATTGGAAAAAACGATGGCATACGTGCGTTGCTTCAAATGGAGCCTACTTTGAAGACGACTTAATAAATTTTGATGAATAAATGAAATATGTGTGTTTTATTTAACAATTCTCCGTACTTTTTTGACAGAATGTAATAATTTTCTATGTCTCTTAAGAGCTCGATAAATAAATTAGCTGATGTGATTACATAAAACGAAATCATAATCTTAAAATGAAAAACAACCTATTTTTTTAAGTAGTTACTGACTACTAATAAAACGCTGAATTCGGTATTTTGAGATTTTTGTAAAATTAATGTGACCTCAATTTTGATTTGCTACCTAATCTTAAAATATCAATTAGCTGGGTGATATATTTTAGACAGTTACTCTATCACACTTGATATGCAATGATTGGATAACTACAAAATCGATTTTATATTTCAATAAATAATCAATCAATAACGAATCGATAACATGCTATTAATTCAGTCTGCACTAGCTAGCTACTGGCTTTTAATTCAGGCAGCGGCTAATTACATTTCTACTCGAGTATACATTATTTGTTTTGCTTTCAATTCTTCTCAGATTCTGTCAAATAAAATCGAATTTGCACATGCAGGAATAAAATTCTTCCGCGCGTTATGAGAATAAAATTCTGCGCTGTTTCTCGAGAGAAGAACGACTCATGGCGAGGTAGCCACTGCACGTTCCTCTTGCGAGATTTTGCACAACTGTTACTTGATATATCGTCGTCGTGTCACTATTACTTTCCCCGAAGATCAATATCAATTTGTCACATGCCTCTCAAATGGCTCGACCTGTGGGGATTCGCGCGAGCACGAGCGCGCGCGCGCGCGCTATTTAGCGAGCCGATCGCGACCATCACCGTGCGGCAAGTTCGGCTCGATGATGGACGCTAAATGCTGCAAACTGCGCGGCTCGTGAGCGGTAAGCAGATAACGATACCCGAGATTGGTGTAGCCGATGGTGTATCCGAGTAGTTCGCCGTTCCACAGGGATCGATCCGGCGGTTGCCACGTGATCTTGAGCTGCTGCGGGCCCAGGGGTTCCACCGAGACGTGCCTAGGCGGTCCTCCGGGCACTTCGCCCTCCGTTTGCACCTGTTTCGAAAATTCCGAAACGCCCCGGTACACGTGAAAAGAGAACAACCCGCCTGTTGGCGCGTTATTACGCGAATGGCTCGTGTGACAGAATGAATCTTTCTTTTCTTTCTCTTTTTCGATCATGCTTTGTGCGTGTGTATTATATATGCGTGCGCGTGCGTGCGTGCGTGTGTATGTATGTACGTATGTGTGTGTGTGAGTGTATGTATACATGTGAGTGTGTACATGTCTCTGTCGTTGATTTTTTCGACAATGTTTGATACTGACATGAAGGATGTCGCTTGGCGCTGATGTTCCAAGATGATTTTCCGCAAGCACTCGAAAGTGGTAGGTAGTCGCGGGTTTTAGGGGCGATACCAGAGCGACCGTGTTGTCTCCGGATACCAGCTTCTGCGTGTTGTGCTCATGCCACACGTCTTTCCAGCAAAAGGCAACAACGCTTAGTACGATCTCTTAAGCGAGTAAACGCGAGTAATCGTGAGTCTCGCGAGGCGAGGTGCATCCGCCCGCGTCTGGCTCACAACACCGCGCGCGAGTTCGCGATCCCACATATCGGACACGGTGGCTAAACGTTATCTCTCGTTAGTTGTCCGTGCATAGGCGCGGTGTGCGTGTGTGTGTGTATGTGTGTGTCGCGCACGGAGATAATACGTAGTCGGCGGCAAACACAACGTCCTCGGATTCATCAAGGAACGCCGGCGACCCGGGGGATCGATGCGTTCCCTCCTTCTCATACGTGACGAGCGAGCAAATCGATCAAGCGAATGGACACTTTAATGGGGAATGATACCGACGCGCGAGTCAAACCCGTGTGCGAACGCCCGCGCGCGCGAGGCAATAAATGGCATTAAATATCAAACGTAGACAGTAGAATATGTGTGCATGCCGCGTGCCAACGCTCGCAGTTGGAAAATTAATTCGAAACTATCAGTTGCAGTGCAAGCGCGGTTTCACGCGCAGATTATCCCTCTGGTTTTAATTCGCGGAGTATGGGAGAGCCAGAGAGAGAGAGAGAGAGAGAGAGCGAGAGAGAATGTTGCAACTTCGAAGGGCTAGTACGAGTTGATAGACATAAAATAATTCGCGCGCGACACGCGCCGATATAGTGGAGCGCGTTCGTTGAGTGATCATACGGATAAATGTGACGAGTATGCGGATCTCTGTACGCGTGTGTGATCGTACCCACGGAAATCTCGATCCTCGCGAGACTCGATTCCGGTAAGAGCGATAATAATTCTCGACGGTGCTTGCCTCAAGAACATGTTTTATGCGCGTTAACACCACGACGCTTCCATGCCTCTTCGTGCGTTAAGTTCGATAATTTAACACCGGCGGGAGAGACTCGAGTCGATTAGGCGTAAATGAGGACATCCAAAGTTAACGAGCGGCCAGGGCGCGGGGCGTTTCAAAGAGAAGTTTGTGGCATGAAAATAGAGTGAGCGAGAGGGGGTGGTCGGTAGCCGGGGGAGGTGTAACACAAAGACGAAAGAGAGAAAGAGAGAGGGGAGTAGGGGCGCTTGGGAGAGGGAGGAAGGGGGAGAAGTTTAGAAGATTCGTAAACGACTTTACAGAAAACTTGGAGTTAGCTGTCGTAATGAAAACCGCTAACTAACCAAGATGCCAGGTATATATTGGCGCTTGAGGAAATAGAGTTTCCCTTATATCTCGGTGAAATAATCGACACGATCGTTTTAACTGCAAACCGGTAATTATAATTAACACCGGTCTTCGTCTGTTTGACAAAGAATCTCGGAAACGCAGAAAACGCGAGAAGAAGGAAGAAAGGAAAGAAAGAAGGAAGGCAGGAAGAAAGGACGAAAGGAAGGAAGGAAGAAAAATATATATTATGGGAACTACAAACTCGAAATCCAGAAACCGGAGGCGCAGTTATAAACACGATTAAATCATTAACAGAACGAGTCGCGCAAAAATACCTCGCGTAAGACGCGGTGCCGGGAAGATCGACGAGGCGACGTAAAAGTGACGGCAGCTGCGTCCGGCTTCGCTACTAAACGAGATTAATCAGCGGGAAATGTAAATCGCTCGGCCCTCTCGGACGCAGACGCGTGGAAGAACATCAAAGAGTGAAATCGCTTCTGCACTGCGGCCGCGTGCACGTATTATACGATGAGCAGGAATCGCAAATGAATTCGCGACATTGTTGTGTACGAAATCAACTCTGCGAGCGCGCGAGGACAGTTTGCGAGGGACGCGGCGATGTAATTACCATTGCTTCTGACAGCCGCAGCTCATGCGACAGACTGCGTCGCGTTACATTGCGCGCGTGCATCTTCGCGCGACGCTGCAGAATGGCGCATCACCGAGGAAAATATTCTCTCAGTCCGCATTCGCGGACACGGGGTCACTCTACGTACAGATGAAACATTTTCGTTAAATGTGCCAGCATTTTTCATCCGCCAAATGACGATAACGCGCGCGAGCGCGCGCGCATATCTGCCGACGCATGTAACAATTATACAAATTATCTGATTTATCCTCTCGCAAATTATCCCCCCTGTTTTCCTGCCGGTCCATTTTTTTCGGTGCCTTTACGTGAGCATTATTGGAATTTCATATGTTGCAGTCGCACACGTCGATTTATCGGTATCTCTCGGTTAATTAGTTGCTAAAGAACGGCGAGAGAGAAAGAGAGAGAGAGATATATGTGCGCCCGTGATTTGTCGATACTCGCGAGCCGCGTGCAAACTCTCTGTCGAGTTCGCAGCTTTTCTGTGCCAAAAACGGATTTTTCTACACGTACTACGTCTGCGTCTTGATGCGCCTCCTTCGAAATCGTTACTTCGCGGTTAATTAGTTTCTACACTGAGAAAAGAGTCTCGGTTATCGGAGCAAAAGCACGTTTACCGTTCGATGGTCGTCAGAGAAGCAGGTCGGACAGTTACCGTTGCAAATCACCCTTCATCATTTGTCATTCTAACAAATGCGCTTGCCCGAGATACAAATCACACTTGTTCTCGTCTGTTTAGATCAGGTTAGTCATGTATCCGTTACAGAAACGTTCCTTAGAGCAGCAAATTGAAAGTAACGAATCATTTGTCCCCACTACGTAGTAATTTGCTGCCCCACGTGAATCGGCGAATTCACGGTTGCGGATGTTGGTATTTTGTTAAATTGGCAAAACTTTTTCACGGTGCAGAGAACGACGGTGTGTGCGCGTAATTTGTCGATACTCGCGAACCGCGAACTGCCTTTATCGACTTTGCAGCTTTTCTAGGCCAAAGCGGATTTTTTACACGCGTTCTACTTGGCGCGCTCTCTCTTCCTTCGAAATTGTTGTATACCTGGACACGTATCAAACATCGAGATATCAAATATTCTGTCAGACAAATTCTCTCCATCGAAGAGAGAGAGAGAGAGAGAGAGAGAGGGAGGGAAAGAGAGAAAGAGAGTCGGATACGCGCGCATTCTACGATAAAATGATTACTCGTTAATGAGATACATTATATGTTATGCTATTCGCGCTAATTGGATCTGGAACGTTTCGACATACGTTCGTTTAAATATCGGTTGATGCCAGGTGATCTCGCCCGCGATGTGGCAAGGCGGAACGACGAGGCCCGGTAAAAGCCGCGCGAAATAAATCCAAAACGAACTTTAAACGAACAGCGGGACATGGAGGCAACGTCGAAGGATAAATGATTAATGATCCTCCGATAAAAGCCGCGGCGCGGTGGGCGCTACGCCCGGATGATGCTCCCAGGGTGAGGCCGCCGGGGAGGAGGAGGAGGAGGAGGGGGAGAGGAGAGAAGACATCGTAGTGTTAACTCTAACGTCCGATATGATATCACGCGGATGATAGAAAATGCGGCGCAAAGCGCGCTGTGAATACACATATACGCATAATGACGATGGATCGTAAATGTAAATGGGGCGCAGTGTTACGTACATCCCCGTAAACAACGACATCTCCTTGCCGGCTCAGGATTATCATCATTCGAGAGCGCAGGTACGGGGTAAAAAAAAGAGAGAAAACTCATCTGGTATTACTTCACCGCCGATACGCGGGGCTATAACGCGATATTTACATCGGCCGTTGGAATTTACGGGCGCGCCGACAGGGTAAATAGAATATTATACACACGCGCGCCCGGCGTTTTTAATTTCTCCCGTGTATTTGCGCGTATCCTCATTCCGACCGTCGGTCGAAACAAATCGAAACATATGGGAAAATTTTAGATTTGAAAAATGCCGAAAGAGATGTGTATCTCCCTCTTGGTCCCCTCTGCGGGTTATATGACGCGTTCACTGCCACATCGTCCGTACAGAAATGGGTCTTCCGCGTTTTCCTCAAAAATATAAAACTCGCGTCGAGATGATTTTATATTTTTCACTTATCTTAAATATATATATATATGTGTGTGTGTGTGTATGTGTATATATGTGCTATGTAAACGTAGATAACGTGAATTACAAATAAATTTATTATGTATACGCGCGTACGAAATGACTCCCGAGAAAATGCAGATATCGTATACCCCTCGGCCGCGCGGAAGAATATCGTCACAGTCGCCACGTCAGCGATTCGAGAAAATCGATATCTGGAATTTCAGGCGCTCTTAAAAATGCAGAACTCGGAGCTATCTCCGCTATTTTTGTTCCGATTATTCATACTTTAGCGTTACGTCGATCCCGTCTGGCGCGGCCAGCGGAACAGCGGGAATACTTCAGCGCGGATGTAACGCGGAAATGAATTTTGCTCCGGGATGACGACTCGCGAGGCACGATCGACGTGACAGTGAACACGCCGATAGTCGACGCATATACGGCCGTTGGCAGAGAACGATCCTCGTCGGGCGCGGACAGAGAGACGGGCGTACACACGGGCCGGGATGTTCTCGACTCATCTCGAGTTTGAACACTTCCGTGCACGTACCACGCACCCGTGCTAAAGCGGAAAAGGAGACGGGGGAGTGTTACCTTGCGCCTCCTTGTACTGCACGATGTAGTTGGCGATGGGCGAGCTGGTGTGGCTCGAGTCGCGATCGCTCGCCGGCGACGACCAGGCCAACAGGATCGAACGGCTGCCCTGCTCGGCCACGTGCAGATTGCGAGGGAAATCGGGCGGCTCCTGCACGAGCAGATGGATCGTCGCCTTGGCGTGGCCGTAGGCGTTCGCGGCGACGCAGACGTAGTCGCCGCGGTCCATGTGGCTCGCCTGAACGATCCGCAACTCGGTGGTGAAGCGGCCCGACGTGTCCGCCGTATTGTCCACCGCGTACCTGGACGAACCCAAGAGAGGCGGTCTGGTTGATCGATACCGTTTCAGCCCGCTAAAGCAGCGGTAAAGTTTGCATTAAGCACGAGATCATATATAAATCGCATCGCCAACGATCTCGAGTGCAAGAGTGCAGCCGGGAATACGTGTCATCCAGTATTAAAGACCGAGGGACACCAAAAGTGGATCGAGACGCATGGAGACGCGCTGGGTACGTAATTCATAAAAGCCCTCCGGCAAACAAAATCGCATTCGTGAAAGCTGGGAATTTCAATTCATACTGCATGCAAGATAGTCTGAGAGCCGGACTAAGTATCCGCGTGAGCTAAGTCTCTGTTAAGTCCGCAATTTGCGAGACCCTTTATCGCGAGAGAGAGAGAGAGAGAGAGAGAGAGAGAGAGAGAGAGAGAGAAAGAGAGAGAGAGATACGTAATAATAATAATAATCTATCTATCTAAGGTACACCGGGGACACAATTTATAATAGCCACTTTAACTGCGAGATCGTATTTGAAGTGGACCGAGTTAGCAATTCGTGAGGTCGTTAAGTGCGCTTTCGTAGTTAAAGCGGATCGTACGCTCGAGCGGCTCCGCGCTTGATTCGCTCTCGTTACGAATCCTTCGTGGATTAATGCGCAGAAATAACGGCGGCATCTAAGCAGTGCTCGCACACGTCCGCGTGTGCATATGCGCCTGTCGTCCCGGCGATGCCTGTGAGGCCCCGCGCGAGACGCGCATAATTAATTTCGATACGAACCTAACGTCGTAATTAGGATCGATCTTGCTGTCACGAGCACGCCAGCTAAGATCAAGCGGCGCGTCTCCCTCGGCCTCGCAGCGCAATACCACGCTCTCTCCTCTTCGCACTGACTCCTGCCTTGTCCGTACTGTCACCTGGGGGCCGGCTGTAGTGAGAATTTTTCATCAGAACCTTATTGCGAGAATCTCGCCTAGGACGCGAAATAAGGAGACGAAACGAATTCTGTCCTCGCGACTCGCCGGGACGGCGAGAGTCCCTCTCGACGACGACGACGACGACAACGACAACAACGGCGAACGGAGGGAGGAACGATTTAACTTTCTTAACGCGAAATCTCCCGCTCTTTCCGCGTTCATTTTACAGAATTACGCGCTTTGTTGCACGCGCCATTGAGTTTTTTGGCCGAAAAAAAGGAAGATCAATTATCGCCGTACCGATGATACCTGGAACAAGCGCGCGCGTGAGTGTGTGTGTGTGTGGACATAAGCATGCACGCAACTACACACACACACACACACACGTCGCAGAGAGAGAGACAGAGAGAGAGAGATGCCTTCATCCAGTGATGCGAAGCAATTATCCAGTGACGAATATTGTAGTAATGCTATTGAATTTCTGGCGGACATACCGTGCAAATTCAAATTAACAAATTTATTAAATTCATGACTGTCGCATCACGTTTCACCGCCTGTATTTATATATACTGTATGCAATAACGATAATAAATTTCTGCCTCGCGAGCGCACTCTCTTATCCCTCGCTCGTCTTCCTATTAATACGTCAAAGATGCCGAGTGGCAAATGAATCAATAATTGGCCAGTAACTGACCAGAAACTCTGATGCTAGTCTGCTAATTTCTAACCAATGTCGATTTTACATTACAAAATGCTGTAAAATTCAAAAGATTTTATTACTCAATAGGCAATATAAAGTATAAGCCGCGTTTCAGAAGAAACAATCTTTTCACGCGTGGAAACTCATTCATTATTGAGATAGTTGTAGCTTTATTTTTAATCGTCATTTTTCCTTAGCTCGTTTCTGGCTAGCATTTTCTTAGCCAGTTTCTGAACAGCCACACGAAGAGAACTTTACGAGCAGAAGTAAAAATTACTATAGGGTTTTGTGACCGAGGAAAAGATCAACATTCTGCAATAATTCACTATTCTTTCATTTCGCCTATGCTTCTTATATTTCAGAAACTGAAATATGATATGAAAACACTCGCAATGTTTCCAGCGAAATTTAATACGTTCCTTGGCAAGATAAACCTTACTGTGGCAGAGTCTATTCCTGTACTACTAAAAGCATGGTAAAATTGAAAAGAGTTTGTATGAAAACGACAAAACTGTAAGTTTCTCTCCGTGTGTGCTATGTAAGAAAAATTCCGCGCAAAAACTGGCGAGTCTCTGGTTAGCGATCAGTCTTTCCCGGAGATTTTTCTACGCGGGATAATATCGACGTGCTCGGGAAGACATCGACGTGCCGCGCCATGAGGACATTTTTTTCGTCGACGTATTCGTTTTTCGCACTCGCGACGCGACGCGCGACGCCGAAGCTTCCTTCGATCAGCGGAGATAAATTCCGATCCGGCGCAACCCGAATCCCAGACATCCGCCAGGACACTAGCAGCTCGGATCCAGACGCCGGTAACTCGAGGTTACGTGAATATTTTACCATGAACCGTTAGCCGAATGAGCTTGCTGAGGCCGGGCCCGATGCCGTTGCTCGCCTGGCATATATAGAATCCGGCATGATCTCGCGATACCCGCGGGATCACCAAAGATCCATTTCTCGCCACTCCGGTGCCTTCCGTGCCACCGTATCCGAGCTCCCTATACCCGGAGTCACCCGGAGTTTCACCTAAATGCACGAGGATACATACATCTTTATGTCTTCGCATAATAGGCACGTCCAAGAAAATTATTGTCTGCATTTTACGAGCCCTGCGAGGACCCGCGTTCGAGTTCCGTGCGCAGGCTAAAAATTCAAATTCGGCACATAATACTCTCACACATCGCTCTAACGAGCGCTGTGTACGTGCACGTGATTTAGTCGCCGAAAATAAGCTTTCGTAACGTCGCCGAAAATAAGCTTTCGTAACGTTTTCGAGATACAAATAGAACCGCGATCGATTATATGGCGTAAATTATAAACGTTCCAATTAGTGAATCTTATCGTGAAAATAAATTGATTAATAATATACGTGTTAAAAAAGTTAAGGCTTTGCTATCTCCGCGTAGAAAGTCAAAGTTGACGGTGGCGCCTAGTAGTGTCGAGAACACGAAATAACCGTGTGAGCATAGCTGATTGGCTAACACTAGGTCAGGGTCACGCTAGGCCTTGATTGACATTTCGGAAAAATAATTGCATTTTATCGCGTTATTTTGCAGTTTCTCCGTGAACTGTGTATATTATCGTGATCCTCATAGCTGTGAAATATGCAGCAAATTCAGTGATACTGATGATAAATTGTGAGAATCGAGAAATTAATGTTCATTAAATTTATGTTTACACAAGCTAGTATCTCAGCTTTCAAACCACCGTGACAGCCGAAAAATGTACTATTATTTCAGGAATTATTTTACGATGCTACGTGATATATCAGCCAGATATTTGAGTTTGTTGCACTTTTCACAAGTTTCAAAATTAGGAAAATATTTGATTCTTCAGAGAAAGGTCAAAAATAAAGCAATAAAACATAATTATTTTTCGGTATGTCATTTCTCGCTTCTGACGTCATCAATCCAATATGGCCGCCCCAGAAATAGCAGAGCCTTAAGTAAATTTTGTTGAAAAGCTTGAATATTTCGGATATTAGTTGTGTTATATTTTTCTGATTTGTCGGAAGATTCTACTTTATTCATAATGTTTTCTCAAAAGTGATGTACCATTTAGTGACACGACAGTTTAGTTTCGTCCCAATTGGTGACATAAAGTAAATGTGCTAATTAGATCGAATAATCTCTCATCGTCAAAATAAAGAAATATATAGATTGATTAATAAAAATATGACAAGAGTAATTATTATATTCGGATATTACAAGTCGGCACAGTATCATGAATGCATTACTAACCTATCGCTGACTTAAACATGGCGGTTTATGGGCAATCCATATTGGAGAGAGCCATCGTATTGCGCACGTATTGCACTTTTTCTTCTGTGTGAAAATATAGAAACTGGCGCTAGATGAAGTTAAATCAAACAGACTTATTGTACACAAAAGAAAAAAGATAAATAGGTTTGGTGGTAAAATTGCCTCGCTTGGTAAATAGCTAAAAACATATGTTTCTCGTATTCTAAACTTCCTTTTACTAATAAAAATCTCTAAAAGTGGCTTGTAACTAATCAGAAAACTTAGAAACTATTTTTATAGATATTTTTATTAATGAAGAGTTTAGAATACAGAGCAAAGCATAAATAGAATATACACTTAAGTTAACATTTTTAGCTATGATGTAACCAATCAATCACTCAGATAAAAACAGCATGTCAACCAAATATATCTATCTATCTTTTAGATCTGTTTTTGTTTGCCCCAATTCTCGATGGCTCTCTCTAGTATATAGAACTAACTGGGATTAATGGCTTACATTTGTATTATTTAATAAATTCTGGAGGTCAGCTATTAATGCTATTTTTTAATTCTACAAAAAACAAAATTTACAAATTACATGTTATTTTCATTCAGTTTATATTTATTCAGGCTTATTCAGGTCACTAATAAATGTTCTAGTGTCGATTAAAGACATATATGAATTAACTACGAAAATTGCACTCCATAAAATGTAAAATATTACATGTTTTTTTTTCAAATAAATACGGAGCCGTATTAACTGATTCATTAAAAAGAAGAAACAATGCTGTCACTAACTGGGACACTCTCGCCTTACGTTCCTTGAGCGAACAATACACGAGCCTTATTCTAGGGCTAATTTCAGATAAACTTTGCCTTAATGCAAGGCACCTTGCAAACTTTGGAAACTTTAACAACTGCGAAAAGTATGAAAAAATATTGTCTTACTCGGCGAAATGTGTGTGCGAACGTCCATTACCGCGCGTCCCGTACACAAACTTAAATTGCGCGAGGCGGCGCGGGAGAAAATTTCGTAAATGCTAAAATGTCTGAATGCACGGGCCGTACGAGCGATTCCGTGATGTAACGCGCTGAAAGCTAAATACGAGCACGCGGAGCGCATATTTGCGAACGCCTTTTCCCGCGTAGACTTTACTCGCTTATTCTATCTTTTCATAAATAAACGGCGGAAAGGATGGGAAATGCACCAAAGTATATAGCATCTCCATGTACCTGCAAACGGTAACGGTTTACTTCGCGAGAACTCTTCCAATCCCTCCCCTCCCATCCCCGCCCACCTGCTCTTCCCACCTCCTTCTTCTCCTCCTGCTCCTACGAGGCAAGGTAAACCGAACACTTTGAAAGCGTTGCTTTTGAGTAATCAGTCTTTTCGCGCAATTCCCGCGAGAAATTATATTTTGTCAAAACTTATGGTAGCCGCGCGATGCTTAAGAGCATTCCCGACCGAGCGAGAATTACATTCATCCGGTCCAACGGCGAACGGACTTTCATACGTTACATCCCGTTCTATACTTATTCGCCCGTAATACGAGTCGCAGCGGGACGTCTTCCTCCGGCGCGCGACGTACCTTCCTTTTTTCGCGCTCGACGTTGATATCTGCATGGCGCTGCATCGCTCGACAGCGGATCAATGGTTCCCGACGTGCCTCCCGATATATGGTGAAAGATGAAAAACATAAATATACACGCGAAATCTGCTGTTTTTCCGCGGTAACTTCGGGCGACTATGTTTGCGCGAGCAGCGAGGAGAAGTTGAAGGATTAATATTTGAGCGGTATATAAAACAGCTCGCGCGCAACGGTCTATCGAAGAAAAATAACGTGGAAACGCTGTCGAGCGTTTTGTGCCTCTCGATATATATTTTTGCGGGCGAGGCGCGAGATTTGTCGTTAACAGGCCGCGAAGACACGTGTCGTCGATAAGCGGAAACGGAAGCGTCGACGTTATAACGCGGCAGGGATGTTCGCGTAACACGATTGCGCAACCAGCTCGAGCGTTTTGCGAATAAGCACGGTCGCGCGCCTGTTTGCTGCAGTTAATTAAAATCAACCAAAGTATTCCGGAACATGATAACAATCTCATCACTTTGATGTAACTGCATCGCGCCGAGACATACGAGGCGCTTTTTTGTAATCCAACGCAGCCCCATGGGCGGGGGATGATTGGCTGCGAAAAATAAAATCGGAATAAACGGCGAAAAATGCAGTTCGCGGTAAAGCGAAGTCGGAATTGCAGAGGGGAATGGAGGGAGAGAGAAAAGAATGAAATTCCCCTCGCAAAGTGCGCTGCGTCGAGTACACGATCAGCGAATTGATGAAACTAATTACACGTCTCTATCGTCAGAGGGTAAGAGCTTATTTCTGACTGCGCGCGCGATCCGTCGAGACTGGCGATTCAGCGAAATTTGTGATTGATTACTGCTCCCCCGCGCGTCCTTCTTCCCGCCGTCGATGAGCCCCGCCGCGTCGCGACTTAATGAAAATTACGCAACGCCCGCAAACAAAGTTCTCGCACAATCAGCGTAAAAGCGCGGGACAGCGTTTGTTGGAAGATGTAGTAACAATCGCGAACTTGATGACGCTACATTCGCGGGTCGGTACGAAGTGAGGTGATACTAAACTGCATCTTATTATCTTAATTCTTACGCCAACAACTAGGATTCGCTGTACGACACGTAACACATAAATGCACACAGTTGCGACGTTGATTATTGAAAAAATGAAAGCGCAACGGTTCAACTGTTTGCCCACGAAATGTCAGGACGGAAAAGAGAAGGAGAGAGAGTATCAAGCTTCTATATGTTTACAAAGATCAGTTGCGATTGAACGCTCCTATTTCTCGTCGTATGCCGAGGATGTAATACATCCCTAGGTAATGCCAGCAAGGAGTGAGAGAAATATATAGATACATAGAGAGATAGATAGATAGAGAGAGAGAGAGAGAGAGAGAGAGAGAGAGAGAGAGAGAGAGAAGGGTCGGGTTTCCTCGCCAGGATCCCACCTTTAAGGAGTCGTGACTTACCGATAGATTGCTTCCAAGTCACAGTCGGAATGGGGAATCCTTCGGCCTGACAGGCGATGGAGACGCCGTGACCTACAACCGCGTTCTGGTCGATAGGTTCCACGGTCCACTTCGGAGGTACTAAAAATACGAACCGATTGGCTTAAAATCTTCCAGTCGCGCGAATTCGTATCCGTCAGAATCTTACTCGACGCCTCCTCGTTTCCGTCGTCGCTCGTCCCGTTTCACGGCAGCTCGGAATGACTGCCTCGAAATTACACTACCGGCGGCGCGCAGTTACGTCAGTGTCGAAGATATACAACGCCGTTAAATAATCAGTATCGATCATCGGGGACAGTGTCTGTGTGTCACGATTATATGTGTGTGTGTGTGCGCGCGCGCGCGCGAATATCGCGAGAATTTCCCAAATTTAATCCAGCGCGCCGTATACAATAATGAACTTGAGAGATTGTCGGCTCGAATGTGCGGTGCGAATGTGCGTAACCTTCGCGTTAACACGAATTTATCGCGGATTCCTTTCAATTTTATCTGAAATATCGGGGACAATGCTCTGCGGCCGATTCAGCCCCCAAACACCGCAATTCTACCTCATTTCCTCTGGACGATATTTCGCGTAAAAACCATCGAGCGATATCGATTTTCACTTTATGGTCCAGTCGTGATTTTATCTTTTATCTGTCTGCTGTAAAAATGTATGATGTGACAGGTTATTTACTTGAACAGTCATACGCTACACGTACGTTGACCAGAAATTCGATCAATAGTTCACTACGGCTCGAGCGACGATGGACACCAGCGGCGATGGATAAATCAATGTTTCTCTCTAGTATCGATAATTGTATATGTAACGCATGCATCTTTATTTTTTTCTTTCTCTCAGCTATACGAATGGTTTGTATACTTACGCGATTACTCGCTGAAAAATTGCAATAATGTTACACGCTACGAAAAACTCATGAACGCTACGGCTAAATTACTTGAATTGACGATGTCATGTATATGTATGTAAATATATATGGAAAACAAACGAGAGAACGGATCTTCCCGTATGTACTCAACTACACTGTTAATTTCGTCAATACTCCAGGCATTGTTAAACGTCAAGGAAATATAATAATTCGACGAGAAGAATGTCAGAAACGAAAAGAATAACGTGCACATTGTTCCTTTTCTTCTTTACTTTTATTCTTTACTCGTGACAGTGAGAAATTATTCGGGTTAAAGAAAAACGCACGCGTAAATGATGAATAGAACATACAAGAAGAAAAATATACATGTGAAAGGAGAAGAGAAACGTATCCCAACTGAAAAATCGTCCGTTCAGTTACGTGTGAGTATAGTTAGTTACCAATCAAACTGCAAATATGTCGAAAAAGAGTATAATATACACATAACAGTACGAATATTGGAACGTAATGTCATGCAAGAATGCAAGATCGTCATTATCATAAAGAACGTAACAACGCAAGCAACATTCCAAGTAAATAGAGAGCCGTATAAAAGATCGATGTAATAGAGAATGCTTTCCAGACAACTGACAACGACGCAAACGATACCGTGACATATTGTACCGTGATACAAAAAAATGGAGAGAGAGACACGTAGTATAATATAAGGAGGTATCACTTTTACATTCTTCCATCGTCATTCCAAGTCGCTTTCGTAAAAAGGGAAATTGTAACCAGAGAAACGTTAACTACGCGAATGCATGCTTCACACCCGTCATAGACAATCGTTGCATTTGCATTAGCACAACGTCTCGAATATATCAACACGCTACGGATACTCTACCTAGTGTACATTCGCGAAATGTCCTCTCAAAAATCTCAACACGTGAAATACTTCTACGAACTGGAATCGTAATTTCGAGGCCTACGTCAATTTCAGCTGCGATGCTGCTCAATGGCGAAAACGTATAATACGAGAAGAGCACGACAAAGAGGAAGTCGGTGCATCTTTATAAGCCTTACCGGCACGTCGAATCAACGACTCTGGAATCGGCTGCGTACGCTGAATAACTCTGTTCATCGAGAGTCGTCGATATCTCGCACGTTAAAAATTCGCGACAAAACGAACAGAATCGATGACCTGACCAAATATGAACGATCTTTCAAAAAACATAATAATAATAAGAAAAAACAAAAGAAACATAAAGAATGGAAATTGACGAGCATGCACAGAAGTAAAGTCGGCGATACATCTCTCGTGTGCACGATTCCGTGTGTCATCTCTCGAAGCGTCTTACACTTGTCTGCGTGCCACGCGCTTCCTCGATTTACAACGGCAAATGAAAGTTCCATCATCCTTCGGGGACGAACGAAATAAATCGGGATATGGCGGCACCGTGCCAGGTATTGCTCTAAATGTAGCGCGACACGGCAATTTTGAAATCGAACTTACCGGTCTGTATACCGTTTTTCGCCCTTCTCTGACGCGTTCACGTGCTAAAAATATCTTTCCAGCAGTGAATGAGGACAAGTTAATGGGTATTTTCGCCGAACTGCTTCCTTTGAATTCAATGTCTCACACGCGGACAGTAGTACGGCCAGATACAAGCGGTACGCTCGAACGCAAGTAGTACTACCCGAGCGTAATAAGTACGGCCAAGCGTAATAAGCGAAGTGAACGACCGCGTGATCGAGCGGTCACGTGTGAGCTCAGCTGAGTCCCATTCTTAGAACATGTATACATGGAGGGGGAATGCTGGCACGAAAGTGTGTCCAAAATGTGTGCGAAAGAGAAAGCTATATCCTATTCGTCCTCTGTGCGCATGCGTTGAAGTTGACAGGTTAGGTTAGGTTATAAAGTTGACAGGAGATAAAAGTTATTTATTTTCTCCTCATAGAGCTCTGAGAATTTTTTCAGAATTTTGTATTAACTTTCTAGTACTTCAAGAAAATGCAAGAACGCAAGAAAATGTAATATCAAAAAGTTAATACAAAATTCTGAAAAAATTCTCCGAGCTTTATGAGAAGAAAATAAACAATTTTTATCTCTTGCTATTTTTCGTATTTTTTAATGTTGATAGAATTCAAGTAAAAAAATATTGAAACTAATAATTTTGTAGCCCAGCAACAATTGACCCATTTTGGCGCATGCGCAAAGGATGAATGTAAGAATAGAAATGTATACCTTTCTCTCTAGCACATATTTTGGACACACTTCTGGTCTACAAGAGTAATACGCAATTCCTCCTCCATATATACATGCTCTAAGGTCCCATTCTACAACAAGTGTCTTAAACACTCTGATTGGTTGGCTCTTACGTTCACAATTACGCTTACGCAATTTTAGAATGGCTTTTAGAGAAATCATATCGATTCTAAGCCTCAAGTCTTAAGCTTTAATTCCGGTCTACAACAGGTGATTTAAGCCCTAAGTCTTGAGAAATTGACTAATCACAGTCATGTCAAATATGAGAATAATCGACTATGGCGTGGGGATAGGACCGCGTTTCAACGTAACGCGTGACATAACGCGGCTGAGACGCAACCAGTGAGCGCCATTGACTCCACTTCGACAGCAACGAACTGATTGAAAACGTGGCTCGATACAATGGCTCTTATTCTGAACTCCCTTTTATCGATAAAAATGTCTTTAAATATGACTTATAAGCCTCCTGATCGGCTTACAAGAACATTTAGAGGCACGTTTAGAGAGAGAAAGAGAGACACTCTCTTATATACGAAAGAAAATTCAGAAGGATCAATATCGATATCTTTCCGTATCTAAGTAGTTATGATGACTTAAACTGATATCGGAAACTTCTATGCTTCTTATATATAGAATAATTTTCCAAAATGAAAATTAATTAGATTATCGCTCAAGATGTAATTATATTATGTCAGCAATACTCAACTGTTTTCAGGTCACACGGAAAATTTAGAGATGAAATTTAAAATGGAAATTCTAGAAGCTCAGCTGTGATTAATAATATTATAATGTTACTGTGATGCACCAGAAGCATAAATTAAATCGAAAGACCTAAAAAGAAGAAAAATATTATTTAAAGCTCTTTTTCAGTTCCAATATCTCTGGAAATTAATATAACTTCATAGAATTATACAGAAAAAGCTTAAAAATAAACTTCGCGTAAGTTATTGATGTTCTACACGCTCTGTGAAATTCTCTGATCATTGTACAGGATATATAATCGTACAAAAAGCTTGGCTTAATAAGAAAGAAGATATTTAAAAAATAATTCATTTGTTGACCTGGCTCAGGATATTATCATTTGTGCTTTTGCATATATATCCTATTAATTATTTAAATTCTATCTACAATTTCGAAATATCTCATATAAATTATATCGTCCATTGCTGACACTGCAAAATATCGATGACGCGTTTTCAAATACAGGGATTGAGGCCAAACATAAGTGGTACTCCCGCAAATGTAAACGGCATACGATATAGTGCCACATAGCAACCACATAGTGACGACTAAAAGTAACGCAAACGCGAAAAATATCGGCATGTATAATATCGCATTGAAATGCAGAATAGCTGCGTACTGATCGTAAGCCGCGGAGGGGAAAGAGAGTGCAGCGCTACACTCGCGGTACTGCACTCCATGATGAATACAAAGCGAAGTTGAAAGCGCATTACCTTCCATTTGGCCAGAGCGCGGCCAAACATCGCGAGAGGTTGACTTTTTACGAAGGTCCCGTAATGTAACCGCGGTGTTTTCGAAGGACGGTACGTACACGTATAATGACTGCAAGGACGCAATTGTCCTGCGTTTTTTACGTATAAATTACAGCAAGATATGCCCGCCGCGCTTTACAAAGGGCAGCCGCGGCATTTTAAGGTCTTACTCGTGTCGTTCATTATTTTATCTCGAGTTTATGAAAAAAGTACCACAGTCGCGCTGCGTCCAATTAAACCATTAAATTTAAATCGTTGAATTTCGCCTTCTCATTTAACGACTGTAAAGCGATATCCAATTACCGATCCTATTACTCGCTTCTTTGATATTTATTTTTGAAAAACTGCCGTTCTATGCATTCGTCTTCCAATTTCTTATGCGCATAAAGTCCTTCTTTCGCCCACTTTGCGGAAGGTTAAAGGATCGTATATCCCCCTTTGAGAAAATTCCTTTGCGCGAACGCGAGCGCACGA